TATATTATATTATATGGAGATAGTATATTATATTATTATGTTATATATGATATGATTGATATGATATGATATGATATGATATGATATGATATGATATGATATGATATGATATGATATGATAAGGAGATAATAGCAATTGGCTCCAGATGGCACAGGTCATATCATTTGCCCACTCCTCCTTTGAAAAACATGATCCACTCAGACCAATCACAACATTTGAAAGCATACATTTCTTGAATCTGGAAACTAGCAAGGGCCATGCAGCAGTGATTTACCACAGGTTATTGACAACTAGCAGTGAGGGCCTACCACCTCTAAGATGTGGTGGGAGGAAAAGCTGCTAAACCCTCTGCTAAACACTCCATGGGATAACATGGTGGAGTTCAACATTGTTTAGAATTGTTGTAACTTTAGTGAGGGAAAATGTTTACAATATGATTTTTTATAACATTGTATATCTGATAACTGAACAAAAGAGATAGAATTTTTCCCCATATATTGGAGGGATTTCAGGCAGCTAAGTTTATTTGCCATACCTTGGATAATTCAATTGTGAACTGCCCAGATAGTGTTTTAGCATTATGGAGTGGTATATGTAGCAACCCCAGACCTACTGGAGTATCCCACCCTGTAGTTATGCTGCCACCAACCATTCGCTCTACCAAGTCACCCAGACCAGGAATGGATTTTAATAAACAAGAGAACAAGGTTTATTGAAAAAACAAACAGGGTAAATAAAAGGATCAGGTAAATAGGATACTGGAACTTGGTATAGTCCCAATCATACACATACAACAGATTGGTTCCCACGGAACACTTTAAGGTAACGCACAGACCCTGAACCTATCCGTTCTGGCTACCTAGATAGAAACCTGAACCTATCAGGTATGTACTATCTGACGAACAGTTGTACCCAGTCTGACCCACAGACTCCAACTCCACTTCTCCACGTCAGCTCTCTTACGAAGGACTTCCCCCAAATATATACAGTACAGCTCCTCCCCCCTGATGTCCCGCCTTCCACTCCCCATAGGATGGAACTTTCCCTCCAAACCCATGACAGACAGGTACCATCAGTGCTGTATGTGACAGTATATAAACAGTTTGCTTTGCTTTTTTTGCTTTATTATTAATTATATCAGCGGCGAGAATGGAGATTATCAGGCAATGATAACATGTCAAAGATGTAAATTGGAAAAGAAGGTTGGTCAAACTGCACGGACAGAAAAAAATGTACCTAAACGCCATGTTGCAAAAGGACTTGTCTTTGTCTATTTCAGATCCTTTCCAGGAAGCAGTATGGCCCCATTTGGAAGTCCCGGTTTGGCTCCTATATAAATATTAATATTGGCAGTCCTGAAATCTTAGAAGAATTGCTGCGTCAGGAGGGGAAATACCCCATACGGAGTGACATGGCCCTTTGGAAGGAACACAGGGACAAACGGCACCTACCTTATGGTCCCTTCACGGAGTAAGTGTAGAGCCAACCATATCCTATATCAGTTTGCCATTAATAGGGTATACCAAGCAGCCACTCTGCAAGCACCTTGAAAACAATGCAATGATAAACAGATTTCAGACCTCTTGTGGCGACATCCACCAATGAAAAGAGCTTCAGAAGTTAACCTTGAGGCAAAATCCGGAGCTGGAGGCAGTTCATGACTGTGTACAGTCACGATCTGGCAACTCCTGCGACATCACTGGGGCCAGTTGTATTGGCTCTTGCCTTTCCATTGGACTCCTTCAGTGACATGGAAAGTGGGATTTGCTGCTTGGGTAACAGTCTATCCTCCATATTATTTTACCCAGGCTTCGTGCTCTGGAGGGGACACTCCAGCTTTGCATACAGCGTCAAAATAACATGGGAAGTAGCAATTACCAGTTATAAATCTTTGCTTGATTGGCGTAGAGCATGATGCCAGGGGCTACTTCTGACAGTGGGAGAGGTCACTGCACCTCACTAGGTAGGTACCATCCACTTTAAGCAGGGCAGCCCCCAGCTAGTAAGGTGCTGCCTCGCCATGGTCTATTAACCTCATGGGGTGTGTGGGGTTTAGGGTGAAAGCTGACAAGCAAATCAATAACCCTGCACCATGCAATAATCATAAGAAAACTTCTGCCCTAAAGTTGGGCACCTGGAATGTTCGGACAATGACCTCTGGCTTTTCTGATGACCTGCAGAGCATGTTACCATAGTCTCTTGAGACCAAAGGATGCCTACACCCAGATAAACAGAAGCCAGCATGCATTTGTCAAAAACAAATCTTACCAGACCAATCTTATCTGATCTGATCTGGGTAGGTGTGAGCAATGGCCTAAAAACAACAGAATGAAATTAAACAGGGATAAGTGCAAAGTACTGCACCTCTGGGGGATACCTGGCTCAGCAAAACTACGAGCAAGAAGGATCTTGGAATTGTCATAGATCACAAGCTGAATATGAGCCAACAGTGTGATGTGGCTACAGAAACGGCAAATGCTATTTTAGCAGAAGTACAGCTTCCACATCCTGTGAAGTGCAATTTTTTTTTTCAGCACTGTTTAGGCCTCACCTTGAATACTGTGTCCAGTTTTGGACACCACATTCAAGAAGGACAGTGACAAGTTGGAACAAGTTCAGAGGAGGGGAGCAAGAATGATCAGGGGACTGGAAACCAAGCCCTATGAGGAAAGATTTAAATAATTGAGCATGTTTAGCCTTGAGAAAAGAAGACCGAGGGGAGATATGATAACACTTTTCAAATACTTGAAAGGCTGTCACACAGAGGAGGGTCAGGACCTGTTCTCAATAGTCCCAGAGTGCAAGACACACAACAATGGGCTCAAATTACAGGAAGTCAGATTTTGGTTGAATATCAGGAAAAACTTCCTAACAGAGCAGTAAGACAGTGGAACCAGTTAGTTCGAGAGGTGGTGAGTGTTCCAATACTGGAGATATTCAAGAGAAACTTAGACAACCACCTTGCAGATATCCTTTGATCTGTATTCCTGCATCGAGCAGGGGGCTGGATTTGATGGCCTTATAGGCCCCTTCCAACTTCAGTATCTTTGTTTCTATGATTATCTCATTTTTTAATTCAGTAACCTCCTTGGTAGACAGTAGGAATGCTGTAGACTAATATATTTTGACTTTGACAAAGTGCCCCATGATATTCTGATTAGTAAGCTAGCTGGGTATGGGTTGGATAGAACAACTGTCAGGAAGACCCAGAAGCATACTGAGAAAGTGCTTATCAATGGCTCCTTCTCAAACTTGGAGAAGGCATCAATTGGGCTACCACAAGGCTCAGTTCTGGACTGCTCTTCAACATTTTTATTAATGACTTGGATGAGAGAGTGCAGGGAATATTTATCAGATTTGCAGATAACACAATATTGGGTGGAAGACAGGACCTTGGTTCCTACCTTGGAAGACAGGAACAAAATGCAGAAAGGTCTTGATAGGCTTGAGCACTGGGCTGAAAAAAACAAAATGAAATTTAACAGGGATAAGAACAAAGTTCTACATCTAGGAAGAAGAAACAAAATGCACAGTTACAGATGGGGGATACTTGGCTCAGTAATACTACAAGTGAGAAGGATCTTGGAATTGTAGATCAAAAGCTGAATATGAGCCAACAGTACAATGCGGCTGTAAAAAAGGCAAATGCCATTTTAGGATGAATTAACAGAAGTATAGTCTCCAATTCCTGGGAGATTCTAGTCCCATCTATTTGGCACTAGTTAGGCCTCATCTAGAACACTGTGTCAATTTAAGAAGAATGCCAGCAAACTAGAGCAAGTTCAGAGGAATGCAACAAGGATGATCAAGGGACTGGAAATCAAGCCCTGTGAAGAAAGATTGAACGAACTGAGCATCTTTAGCCTTAAGAAAAGAAGACTAAGGGGAGATGGAGATTCTAGTCCCATCGATTTGGCACTAGTTAAGCCTCATCTAGAACACTGTGTCAATTTAAGAAGAATGCCAGCAAACTAGAGCAAGTTCAGAGGAATGCAACAAGGATGATCAAGGGACTGGAAATCAAGCCCTGTGAAGAAAGATTGAACGAACTGAGCATCTTTAGCCTTAAGAAAAGAAGACTAAGGGGAGATATGATATCACTTTTCACATACTTGTAATACAGGGGTGGAGCAGGATATGTTGTCAATTACCCCAGAGTGGTGGACCCATAATAGTGGGCTCAAGCTACAGGAAGCCAGATTTAGGCTGCATATCAAGAAAAAGTTAACTGTTAGAGCAGTATGACAATAGAACCAATTATCTCGAGAGATGATGCGCATTTCAGTGCTGGAGGCATTCAAGAGAAAATTGGACAACCATCTGTCAGATCTGCTTTGATGTAGATTCCTGCACTGTGCAGGAGGACAGACTCAATGGCCTTAGAGGCTACTTCCAACTCAATAATTCTATGATTCTAGTATTCAGAAGAAGAAAAACAGACTTTGCCTCGTGAACCTTTCTGACCTGGAAGATACATCTAAAGCAGAGGTGGACAATATGCACTCTGTGGGCTGCATGTGCACCACTCCCTCAATCTCTCCAACATCATCACACACACCCTCATTGAAAGATTTTATGCCTAAACTTTGGGGCATCCAAGAAATCCTCAAAGGTTCTCTATGAAGACAATTGCTTCAAGATGTTGGGGCCATTGAATACCAAGGGCACCCCTAAACGTTTTTTAAATTTTGTTTTTAAATGTTACCCTCTAGAAGATTAAAGTGGATTTTCACTAAGTATTATTATATCAGAAAAAAAGCAGAGCTTGGAAATATTCCATTCTGGAACTACAATTCCCAGAATCTTTCAGCCACAAAAAAAGTCATGTTTCAAGCTTTGGAAACAATCCAACATTTAGTATGTAGGGTGTTCAAAGGGCTGCTGAAGCCCTGCTGGCTAACATCTGGAAACATTGCTCAGCTGCACCCACCCACCCATTTTCCTGAGATCTTATGAAGTATCACACATTAGTAAGCCGCCCTTCCCAAAATAAGACTCCATCCATCCTCCGCTGCAATCAGCCTCTTTAAAAGTCTCTGCTGGTTCCAAAGGAAGCCTCTTAAAATCCTAATTATGTAATGGGGGCAGTTTGAGGAAAAAAGGTTTGTGTGTGGGGGTCTGCTGCTGTAAACAGCCTTTCCCATGTCCTTTCCTGCAGCAACTTTGGCCTTAAAGTGGACAAAGGCTTCCCCACTCTGGCCTTAAGATCTGGATTGCAGCATTAGAAAGTGCTCCCGCAGCATTTCCATGCTCTGTTGTTAGAACTGCCTGAACATGTCATACCAGGGGATAAGTGCAAAGTCTCAGTTCTTCTGGTCACTATGCAGGGAGAGCCCAGGCTGGAACTGTGAGGGGATCAGATAGCTGCAAAGGTGTGTGCCTGATCATATCAGAAAGTTTTGCTCCAAGGAGGGTCATCTCCCTTACAGCAATCTTTATATTTGACAGAGAATTTCTCCAGCCTGGCCCCCAAAAGTAGAAGCCTTATAGCTGGACCAAATGTTCCAGCTTGGTCAGGGATGGGGGTCAAGCTGGAGCACATTTCACTATATAGTATGTGATCACTGGGAAACAGATCACACCAAACCAGTACACAAGCAGTCCAAACTATAATCTGTTTCCATGTGTGGTCACATCCAGTGTCTCATCCATGATCCCTCACCCTCTCTCTCATTCCTAGAGATGGAGAGCGGTGGCACCGCCTGCGACAGATATTAAACCAAAGAATGCTCAAACCGTCGGAAGCTGTGTTGTATGTAGATGTCATCAATGAGGTGGTGTCTGACCTGATGACACATCTTGAGAATGAGAGAAGAAAGAGCACTTCTGGGGTAGTGGTCCAGGATATCGCCAATGTATTGTACCGATTTGCTTTGGAAGGTATGTTTGCCGTTTATTCTGTATAGCAGTGATTTCCTCCTGCTTGTTCAATTATTGCTCTGTTGGCCTGATGCACAGTTGAAAGATGAACCCTGACAATGTCAGGAAGGTAGAGGCATTAGTGGTGTGTAAATGTCAGTGTGCAGGCACTCATCCTGACCCATGCTCCAGAGCTGCATAGAAAGAAGTCAGGTAAATCATGTCTGTTGCAGTCCAAAACTATGGGGTCAGATGGAGCTAATGATACTATTTGCTTTCAAACAGGCATGTGGGGTTAAAATTGCAGCTGCCCAAACTCAGTGATACTAGTCAAACTAAGCACAAGCAGCTGATCACAGGAATCAGTTTAAGAATTTCTAAATGTTATGTATTAACCTGAATTTGTCTGTGTTTGTGTATTTCAACAAAAAAAAAACTTTTTAAAAAGATATGTGTTCCAAAGTATGAGAGGATGATGAGGACAGGACAACTTTCCTCACTAAAAATTCTTATTTTTAAAAAAATTAAAAATATCAGAGAAGTGAGGGGAAAAAACTGATTTAGCAAATCTGTGCCAGAGGATAAAGGGACACAATCATAATATATAACATACCCAGATTGAAAACTAAAGTGGAAGAGTTAGTTTGATATTTTTTGTGCATGAAACAGGTGTGATCCATATTTTTGGTGTCCGTGTGTAAAGATTTCTGTTTTGACTGTAAGCCTTTCCAAGGCAAGCTCTTCTTGGGTCCTTTTGAGGAAGACCAAGCTGATTCCCTCCATATTGTCTTTCTGCAAGCAGAAGGATGGCTTTATTTAAACAGGTCATTGACAACCTACCTTGTGTGCTTGTGAAGGGATTTTAATTACGTGGGCGCTGCAGTTTTCTTTAATTTTTTTTAAATTTGGCCACTGGTGGTTATGCTTTCATTCATCTTTTTTTTCTTTTTCTTTATGGTACTTGTTTTCTGGTTCACCCTAAATTCTCTGAAGTTCTATTTATAGAGAAGAGATAGGATATAAATCAAGCAAACAAACACTAAAAACATTAATTTGTTGATTGATTGATTGATTGATTGATTGATTGATTGATTGATTGATTGATTGATGGATTGGATTGGATTGGATTGGATTGGATTGGATTGGATTGGATTGGATTGGATTTGATTTGATTTGATTTGTATGCCGCTCATCTGGTCTATACGACCACTCTAGGCGGCTCAATATAATCCTTCTAAACTAGAGATCATTATTAGAGTGAAGAATATGTGACCTTTATCCAACTCCTGTGATTCTTTGCCAGTGATTATAGTGACTGGGCTGTAAAGCCACATATTTTCTCCCCTCAACTTGACTGACAAGTAGATAGATGCTATCACCCAGTAGAAGTGATAAATTATGTAAAGGATATTATCATACTAGTGAATTCACCATATAACCTACCCCCATTTCTGTTTCTTTCTATATGTTTTAGTAACCAAAGGTTGGCATATTGCATAAATCTGAAATTACAACTGTAATTCCCTTGATGTGTCTAACCTTCTTTCTTTGCTTGTACTTCAGCCTCTCCTCCTCTTCCTCATCCTCTCTGCTTCCAGTCTTCTCTGATTATTCTGTTAGGAGCCATTTGCACTTAATTACTGCTTTCTTTTTCTGGTGGCTGACATTTTATGTAGACCCGAGGACTATCTTCCACCTGTGCTTTCCACCTTCAGGCATTTCATACATCCTCTTTGAGACTCGCATTGGCTGTCTAGAGAAGCAGATCCCTGCTGAGACACAGCACTTTATTGATGCAATCGGAACCATGTTAAAGAATTCTCTTTTTGTCACCATCTTACCCAAGTGGACACGAGATATGCTACCTTATTGGAACCGATACCTGGAGGGTTGGGACACTATTTTTGCCTTTGGTATGTGAATGATAACTATTCATCTGGTGTTTCAGTCTGTATGAATTATCTGAACAGTTACATGCAAGACCAGTCCTCCCCTTAAGGAAACTGAGGCAGCCACTTCACATGTCAGATGCACAGGGCAGAGGGGTGGGGTGGGGTAGTTGAATATTGGAGGACAGACCGGCCTGTTCTGCACTCTCTCAGTTGACTGTCCATACTCTGGGGTGGCAGTCACTACCCCATTAGCAGTGTTGAAACAAGAGGTTTGTGGAATGAGAGGGGAATCGTTTTATCCATTGCCTTAGAGAGAGGGAATATTTTTGCTTGGCCCAGTGGAAGCTGAGATGTATCCCACTCATTCTTGAGGAATGGGAAGATTTGTCATATCTTTAAGCCTCCTCAAATACCCAAGATGGCAGGAAATAAAGAAGTCAATTGTGAATGTCAGGCCAGGCTGAGTGTTATGTTCCCAAGGTAACATATGTGCTTTCATTGCTCTAGGCAAAAAACTGATTAATCAGAGGATGGTAGAGTTAGAGAAGTGTCTTGAACGGGGTGAGGAAATCTCAGGCTATCTAACCTATCTACTCTCCAGTGGGCGGCTTAGCCATGAGGAAGTGTATGGCAGCATAGCTGAGCTCCTTCTGGCTGGTGTGGATACGGTAAGGCATTAACTTCTTATCCATTTTATTTGGGTGCCCACAGCAAAACAGAGTCATGAGTCAAAAAGTGTTTGCTGGTCATGGCTTTAAAAAAAAAGAAGTTTGCAGTCTGTTAATCTGCTTTGTACTCTTAAACTACAATGGTCTTGAGGGGGTGACACTAGCCAGCACTCCAGATGGTGATGGGGGCTGCAGTTCAGCAGTCTCCAGAGAGGCACAATATGCTCCCCTGTGCCTTATCCACTCTTGTCTACTTTGCCTACCAGGAGTTATCTGGGGTTTGTGATCAAGCTCACCTGCTCTCTGAATCGTCTAATGAAATGCCAGAGACGAATGGGTTAAAGCAAGTGCTGTACCTCTGAGTCTTTCCCTCAAATGCCTAGAAAGATGCATACCTACAGATAGTGGCCAATCCTGGATGGTTCACCACATTTCAGTGTAATTGGTTGAGGACAGAGGGTAGGTGAATTAGCCTGCTCTACATTCCAAGCCTCCCACACTTAATGGTGTTGGAGACAACTCCAAGGAAAATTCAACTTTGCCTATGGGGATTAAATAGTCTAATGTGTCCAGCAAGTGAACACTCTGTGCCACCAGTCTTTATCACCATACTTTGCAATCTTTTTCCAGCATAGCCTCTATGACCTGCCACCACGAAGAGCCGTGCAAAACACATGGAAAGAAGACCTCTGCAAAACTCAAGATAGCTAGCTTGGAGTGACCCATGCAGATCAACACACATGTGAAATAAACACATGTGTATGTTCTGAAAGACTGGCTCTGACTCTGAACCCAAGAGGCTGAATCTAGACTTAGAGTAGACCCATTAAAAGCAATGGAAGAACATTGCTTTCCATGGGTGTAGTTTAAATGTGGCTCATCCAGCCTAGTAATTCCAGTTTTCTTTTGCTTGTGTTTCAGCACAAAATAATTACTGTATCTGTCCACAGAGAGAAAGATGAGATATATTTTAATTAATAAAAACAACATGTATCCTACATTAGCTTCATTAATTTGAAAAGGGCATCTGTAGTGAGAGTTCTTGCACACAGTCCTGAATTAAATTATTTAGACTTTTGAGAGGAATTTCACCATCACATGCTATCAGGTTCATGAGGACTGACTCTCTTTAAGTTATGTTCATGAGACAGTTTTAGGATTTGTTCCTATGTTCCGGCACCCTTGCTTTCTCTTCTCAGACATCCAATACCCTTTCATGGGCCTTGTACCATCTGGCCAGAAACCCTGACATCCAGGAAGAATTGTACCAGGAGGTGATCAGTGTGGTACCCAAGGACCAAATTCCTGATGCCAAGGATCTTACCAGGATGCCACTGCTTAAGGCAGTGATCAAAGAGACTCTCAGGTGAGAGCCTTCATAATTGTGCAAAGGAGCAGAGAATAAAGTTTCAAGTGAGGAGTGTGTTCGCCACCCACTGCTTCTGTTACATCAAGAATGGAGACCAGGTGTCCCTCCATATGTTGCTGGTCTCCAACCCATAAACATCAGCCCACATAGCCAGCGGTGTGCAGTAACAGGAGTTGCACTCCCACAATATCTGGAGGATGACACATCTAATCCTGCTTTACACCTCTATTGCCATGCTTACTCTGAGACAGCTTTATCACTTATTTTCCCTTGTGTTTCTTTGTTTCCTCCCTCGTTTACTATGCTGCACACTGACTCTTCCTCTGGTGTCTTACAGACTTTATCCTGTGGTCCCAACCAATGCCCGAATCATTGCAAAGAATGATGTGGTTGTTGGGGGATACAAGTTTCCAAAGGACGTGAGTAAACTGGCTGTCTTTGATTTTGCATCTCTGATGTTTGTGAACATCCTAGACTAAATGACCAGAAATGGAGGTGAAAGAAGACAGGATTGTTCACTAGATTTGCTATCCAGACAAGCCAGGCTGGAAGAAAGCCCAGATGAAAATAGCATGTAGAGGAGTGTGAGAGTGCAGCTACAAGAGGGTTGTCCATTCTAATGAGCTTTGGCTATGACTGCCTATCTAGCTACTAAACCACCCTCATGGTTTTGCTGTTCAAAAAAACCTCAAGGACCTTGCAGGTAAGACTCATAGTGGGCTGTTTTCCTCTGTACATGCCCACAGTCCACTGAGAACTTCTGTGGAGATTTTGTTGGTGGTTCTGCAGCCAATGGAATGCTGTTAGGTACCATCATGAAGGATGTTTTTTTTTCCTGCAGTGATGCCCTCCCTCTCAGTAAGACTTTTCTGAAGTGATTTGAGAGGCAGGAACTGTTCAGTTTTACAATATCTGCTAGCCATGTTATCTCTGTTAGGGGTGTACCTGCTCTATATCCAAATGAAGTGCATACAGATTGGGGCTGACCAACACTGTATCCTATGGGTGATGTACTGGCCTACTTTGTTCCTGAGCCTGTGATATTATTTGTGCATCTCTATATTTCTGGTGGTTTTATTAATCCTGTGAGTTAAGGGTGGGGAATGTAAACCACTGTGACCAGAAGAGCTGTTGCTTTATTTGTGTGAGTTACTGACTCAAACCCCATACAACAATCATATTTCCATCATTACATCACGTACACACAATCCTAACATTGTAATAACATCTCCAAAAAAAAATAGTAAACTAAGCTGAGTGAGAGGACAAAGAAGAATATTTCAGAATACAAAGAGGCTATTTAAGCAACAACACACATCTTTTTTGTCCTAAAGCTCATGAGAATGACTAGCAGAGCAGCTTCAAGAGGATATATACCATACAGTGGCCTCAGTCTGTGTGCTTCCTAGGAGCTCAGTGGTTAGAGTGTCCTGAGGAGGCCGTGGGCTTTATTGGGGGCTTCAACTGTCAGTCACCACCTCCTTTGGCACCAGCAGCTGAATCTACCAAATCACTTTTGATATCCCCTTTCCTCAGTGCAAACGGCTGGCCCCCTTTTCAAACCTATGATTGCCAGGAGAGGAGACCAATGAGCTGTTGTGGCATTGCTTCACTCCACGAGTGAAGTGTGGGTCTTCTTTCTTGTGCAGAGTCACTCCACAACTGCACAAATAGCCCAGATTTGGTTCATTTTTACACATTTGCCTGAAGAGCACTGCACTTGCCTATTGTTTTCCAGGTTCTCTGGACATACATTTTAAGGTAAACCACTTAGAAATATTATCATGAAAAGCAATATAAAATAGTACTGTAAATAAACATCTAACTTGGAATAATGGGAAATAAGAAGATAAACAGCATGAATGCTGTATGCAGCTCATGTTCCCAAGGTAACTGTGTCTGTTATTTTGCTTGCCATGATGAGGGAAGTGGAGGAGGAATCTGTGGTTGAAGAGCAATATATTTACTATTGGGGATGTGAGGTCTGTTCCTAACTCTCTGTTTCTCTCTCTGAACCCAGACCCTCTTCGTGCTGGCTCACTACGCTCTCTCACATGACGAAGCCAGCTTCCCGGAGCCAGAGCGCTTTCTGCCACATCGCTGGCTGAGAGATAAGAGAGACATACTTCCCCACCCCTTCAGCTCCATCCCCTTTGGGTATGGGGTGCGTGCCTGTGTGGGGCGCCGCATTGCTGAGCTTGAGATGCATCTGGCTCTTGCCAGAGTAAGTTGATTCTATATATATTGCGGTGTGCGCGTGCGCCTCTTCCCTGCTAAAATCACCTGCTTTTGTGTGGTCCCCATAATTTATTTATTTATTTATTGTCATTGTAAGTACAGTATATGCACAGTATACCCATACAATGAAATTCACAGACACCCAGAGACCAGACACATGCACACGCATAAAATTCCCCAAACATTCCCCACCCACTAAAAATAATTCTATATATTGATTCTATATATATATTGCGGTGTGTGTGTGTGTGCGTGTGTGCGTGTGCGCGCACACACGTGAGAACAGAATGCATGATTCTCCAGATGTTGGACTATGAACCTCATCATCCCTCCCAGAGGGTATGGTGATTAGGGTTGGTGGAGGTTACAGTTCAGCAATATCTGGGGGGCCACACTTTCCTCACTGTCATCACTGTGGAATTTGAGGAAATCCTACCTTGCTTTTCCTCAAGCAAGCAAGCAAAATAATTCAGGGAGTAATACACTTGCTTCAGATGGCTATTAACATGCCAGAAATCCAGTACTTAGCATGGGATGCAGCTACAGTTGCAATCATAGGACGGAAGACAGGATGGTAGAAATTAACACTCCTAGCCATGTATTTGTTGAGAGTTGTGTGGAACTCGTGTGAATTCCCCAAAAATGCGCAGCAAGAAGTGCCAGCCGGTTAGGCAGAATTAACTGGAAGTTCCCCTTTTTGGTAATCTCCCCTCACCAAACACTAGCACATAACCAAAATACTCAGGAGGTCTTTTTATCATTAAATAACGAAGTCTATTTTACTCACATGAGGTTATCATTCTTAAAGGTTTCAGTTTGTTACATAATAAACATTTTAAAGGTATGAAACAATAGCTTAATGTATAAAGATCTGAGAGAGAACAAGTAAGTGTCTTGTTTGAGGTTTAATCACCTCAGAGAGAGAAGAGGCAGTTACAGAGGCAGTTACAGGCTAGTAACAGTTAAAGCTCCCCTCTGATTGGTTAGTATTCAAAACTATATACTAGCATGTTAGTCTGTGCACTGGATGGTCTTCCCTTTTGAAATTTACAGTTAGATTGGTTGACCATCCAGTACATCCAACGGTATTCACGAAGGCCTTCACGGCTGGGATCCAATGTGTGTGAGTAATGTTCTCTAAAGATGCCAGCCACAGAGGCTGGCGAAACATTAGGAAGAACAACCTTCAGAACACGGCCAAAGAGCCCAAAAACCCCACAACTCCTAGCCTTACTAATTCATGGTCCAGAGCCATCACTGTAATTGAGGCACTAATCATCTTGCCACCTATTTCCCCTTCCTCTTTATTTCAGATTCAAAATCAATCAGACAGGGCATTCAGGGAGCACAGCAGTATTTTTGATCTTTCCTCACATACGAAGCCTCCGGCTCTTCTTCCTAGCCAGGATATCTCAATAATTCCATGGCAAGGTTGAACACAGTGTCCTCCTCCATGTGTTGTCAGGCTGCAGCAACATTGCAGTTTCAGAGGGAACAGAAAGTGATGAGGAATGTTAGGGGTTATAATACAGCAACAACTGGATGGTCACAAGTTGCCCATCTCTGTTTTATGCAGAAAAGAAGAGTTTATGTAGAAAAAGGTTCCACACTTCTGCTGTGGGGAGGAGTTTGGTAGCAATGACCTTGGGGCAGAGGTGGGAATGATGGATTGCTCCTACCTCCATCCCTCACCACATTGGTTAGGCTGTCAGGATTGGATGGGCATTGGAGGCCCACAATGAGTGGAGCGTAAACCCTGCCTTAAGGAGGGAGTGATCACACACACACTCCTTTTCACTCTAATGACTAAAACAGTGTTGCCTGTGTACATGGCAGCCACATTACTGGCAAGGCAATGATACACTACAGGAGATCGGAGACAAACAGGGTCATCACAGTTATGGGAGGGTCAGATTATGTGGGATAGTAGTAGGCAGCAGAGGGGATCCAAAGCATGGAGCATCCCACTAATGTTAATCGCTCTTGTATCTTTTCCCCCAGATCATCCGGATATTCTTACTCAAGCCAGACCATCAAAGCATGGAGGTGAAACCCCTCGCTCGTATTGTGCTTGTGCCTGACAAACCCATTAACCTGGAGTTCTTGCACAGAGAGACAGGGCTCTAACGAAGAACCATCATCATCATCTTAATAGACTGCAGAGATTTCATTCTGTAGCTTTAGGATTTGATTGTGACCTGGGGTGCCAGTTGATGGGTCTCTCTATACCCACCTCACCCTGAGCCTCTCTGACAATAGTTGCACCATTATGGCCTTCTCTCTTGGATCCTTGCAAGGCTGCACACCACATCCCATTCCTGATTTATGCTTGCGGTGTGAATAGCCTACAATTTACAATGTAGCCAGTGTCTCTCAGAACTGGTCAACAGTTTCTCCTTCTCTACTTTCCTGTTTACAGGCTGAGATTACTAATCCATGATGATTAGTAAACGTCCCTCTTCCTCTATAACAGTCTTCCCTACCAGACATCCCAGATAACAAACTCCCATCACTCCATTTACTACTGGTGGGAGTCCAGCCCAAGAAAGCACAAGAGTGGGATGAGCTGATGATTACAGATTATTAATCTGCTGCTTTTTTGCATCACTGATGGATTTCTTGGTGCCTTTATTCCTCCATAGAACTTTTGTTTTCAAATAAAGTGAAAATATGTAGTTGGGGAGTGGGGGAGAATATGAATAACAAAACAACAAGATCAATAAAGAAATGGGCAAACTTTTTCACTCTTTGTGTGGCTTGGATGTACTTGTGTAAAAACTAAAACAAAACAGTCTTAAGGATAATTTACTCAACAAATGAAACATGGTCTGGATGAATTGCATAGCATGTATCTATATTCACATGGACAGTGTTTCCCAACCTTGGGTAAACCAGGTGTTCTTGTTTGCAATTCACAGAAGTCTTCCCCGCCAGCTGTGCTCACTGGGGTTTTTGGGAGTTGCAGCCCAAGAACACCTGGGTTGGGAACCACTGGATCTTGGCATCAAAGACAGTGTGCTGTAGTGATCAGAAGATTGGAGTGACAAGATTTGGGTCTAAATTTCCACACTTTACATATGTTTGGGGATATGTTTTGCTATAATCTGTGGAGACTGTTGTGAGGATAAAATGGGAGGTGTACTGTGTGCTGTCATCTTAACCTGAGGGGAATTGTGAGATGGAAAAAGCGATGAACCGAGTACAGAGAAACAAACTCTGTTATGCCCAGTCTGTTTAATCTACCATGCAAGTGAAGACCTGCTCTATGCAGCAAAAATGGGCAGGGCGAATTTCTTGTGGGAAAGACAGATGTTGCAACTGGAGAGTATGAAATACTTGTCTTCTGTCTTGCTTCAGTAATACCTATAGGAAAAGAGCTCCTGGTTACTTCCTTGTGAGGGAAAATCACTATAAGAGTGCAATCAGATGGTACTCTGTCTTGTGTTTTGGGTTGCTTTGGGAACAGGTTGGTTTGCTCCATTTTCCAGTGACCACACATGTTATACAAGTAATGGCAAACCAGCCATGACCTTCATCCACGCTACCCTTTTTTTGACCCTGTCTAGGACTGGGTTTTTTTTAAAAAAAACCATGGGTAAGATTGCTCCATTTCAGTTTGGTATGTGTGATCACTGTTATTGAAGCAAAACAGTATTGATAGGTGTTTCCCCTAACAGTGCAGTGCTGTGTCACTTTTTTGGTGAGCCAATGAAGTGAGATGCCATTTGCCAATAAATTAAAAAGATCTAGCTTTTCCCCCACTCCCTACTGAAAGGGAGAGAGGAGAAGATTTGGGGACATGGAAGCTGAGAGAGAGGAACAGATACGGTAAATAGGGTTTCTTTGAGGTGCAATCTGGCTTCCTCTCCTGGAATCACCCAATCCTTGTGTATGGATGCAAGGATCACCCTAAATCTCAGACTGTAGTTTCAAGTGAACCTCTTTAGCTCAATCCAGCCTGAGATAACTTTATTGCCTAGTTGCACCCTAATTTAAGGTATCTAAGGTTCCTACCCAGTTCTATGGCTGCATGGCTCTTCTTAAGTAGTGACAGCCATTGATGGCAGGAAATCCAAAGCTGGAGTTGCCCAGTCATGAGCCGACACCCAGCAAGGGGGAGCCAGTGTAGTCAGTAATACTTTATATATTATAGCTAAAAGTATTTAAAAGATGGTGGTATGCAATATAAAGTCCTATATAGTGATCTGTCATTATATTAACAGACTGAGAGATGGTATGGCCTAGTGTGTTGACTACAGCTCAGGAGGCCTGCATTTGGACTTCCCACTCAGCCATGAAACTTGCTGGGTGACAGTGGACCGGTTATACTCTCTCAGCCTGATCTACCTCACAGAGTTAAGATAAATGGGAAGAGAGCCATGTACACCACCTAAATTCACTGGAAGGAAGGATATAGATGACAGCCATGATGATGATAATGATGTACAATCTTTGAACAGGCTTCGTATAAACGTGTCCTAAGAGAGTAAAGGTTGCAGCAAATTGTTTGCTTCCTGCAAGGGGACAGCATAAAGTGTTTAAGAAACTAGCAGTCTAATCTAGATTGATCCATAACCTTTCAACACCCAATCAATCACAATGTTTTATCTACCTACTGCCACCTCCAATGGCAACCATTGTACTTTGAGGTTCAAATTTGAGGGTTATTCATATTTCACAGATCTGTAGCAGCATAAGATTTTAGAAACAAGAGGTGGTATTGTCGGATACATGGAGTGTGATTGGCCAAAGACCACAAAGTGCAAGATGTACAGTCTGGGGTATGAAGTGTCTATCCTGCTGCATACATTTGAGCAAAGCTTCAAAATAACTACAGGTAGTTACAAACAACAGCCAGGATTCTCTCATTAGTCTCAATCAGAATAGATCCGCAGAGTTTTAGGGTTATGTTATGTGTGGACCTAAACATTCAGAAACTGATTCAATGGGTCTGTTCTTAGTGGGACTAGTCATAGGATACTCATTAATGACTGAAGGGAAGAGTTTTGCAGGGAAAAAGACAACAAAGGATATTCATGTTTCCAGAACAGATACAGGTCACTTTAAAAACACAAGAACAAAAATCCAGTCACTCAAAAGTGGATTGTGATCTCCAAAAATTCACCTAAAAATAAATCTTCTAGTCTTGCAATACTTTTGTTTTCATTTCTGTTATACGTTAGGGTTTAGATTTCTTCCCTCTTTTTCAGCTACAGCAGGTTTTGTGGCTTTAAAAAATTATATATACCAAGGACATTTCCAGGAGGCATTTACAGGAAAAATGACAAAAAGACCTGTGGTCCCTTAAAAACTAACAATTTTTATTTGCCTTAGGCTTTCAACCCCCACCCCACCCCCACCCCTTGAATGCCTGGGTAGGCAAGCATTTAAGCAGAGGCGTTGAAATGTGACACAAATGCAAAAGGTAGTAGTAGTAGCACGATGCTGACAGACAGGCATAGCTTGGAGGAAATGATGCGGGATAATCTCATCACCACCACTGCACACACACACACACACAACCGAAATTTCTGCCTCTAGTCCCTCTGCTCAAGGGACAGATGGAAAGATGACACCCTTATTATGGAATGGCGGCTTCAGATGGATACTTCACAGGCCCAATCAGGCCAATAAGCTCTTCGACTCCAGGTTGGATGTCATCATAACTATTTTGACTTTGGGTGATTAAAATAAAAGTGGCAAAGAAACATCACTGCCTATGTTAAATTCTTGTTCATGATTCCTTTATTATGCATGGTAACAGAACAGGAATGCTTCTCATGGCGGGAAATCCTTTGGCTGTTATCTTTTTAAGGAATCACCTCGTCCCTTCTTGATTGCAAGCCTCGCCAAGAGCTCGCTTTAAAAAAAAAAACAAGCTTCTTTTTAAAGGAGGCTACCCGTTTTATTCCTCGCTCCCAAAATCCCCCTGACAAAAAAGAGGGTCTCACTTCACGACCTTTAGTCCTACTTAAGGCGGAGCTTGCAGGGTGAGCGAAGGCGGATTTTTAAAAACCTGTGGCTTTCGATGGGGTTTCTGGATGGCGGAAAGCGCTTTGTAAGTGGAGAAAAGATTTAGGGCTTAATTAGCACAATCTGATTGCGTTATCCCACTAATGCTTTTCTAAATCTGTTTCACTTGAGCATGTACTCTAGTAATTTTTGAAGGGGAGACGAAACGCTCCTAAGATTTCTTTCCTCTTCCTTCTGTTCCCCACACACGCACCCCATTCCATGTACCCTTCTGTAAGGCTGATTTAGCCAATAAAAGTTGGAAGATGCCTTCAGCTAGGTATTCGTACGCTAGTCTCCCTAGTCTGCAGGATTTGATTTCTGAAGTTGTTCTAAAAGGGAAGAGTTTGGAATAGAAGAGGCTTTCCCTACGTGGCAAGTTGCAACCTTTTCATAATTGTTCGGGGTTCTCTGGAGACGAGCCCGCTCCTTACCAAGCTGGAACTGACTCGAGATTTGGCTTCTGTTCTGTTTCATTCCGTGTAGTTTTTATTGAAGCCTAAATTGTCTCCCCCACGCCCCTTCTCAACCAAGCTGTCTTCAGCAGGATGACTCATCTGGCCCCCTTGCTTATGCGCCACTTGGAACAATTCTTGGAGTTCATAGAATTCAACAGAAATATTGAAGAAGGTGGGTTAATTAAAGCTCTTCCGTTTTTCATCTTTGATTTTGTAGATAAAGGTTTGCCAATAGGCAGCTGCTGCTTTCTTCCTTCTTCTCCCTCCTCAAAGCTCCCAGTGTCTGTCTTTAGCAACATAAACTCCCTTTGGGGATATGAATCTTTAAATCTATTGTTGATTCTTATGATGTCCCCACCCTGATAATCATTTGCCAGAATGAGCCAGGCAGATCTAAGGGTGCCCTTTTGAAGTGCTTATGCAGCCTTTTGATAAATAAAGGTGGTATCTTGGTATAAGTCTAGTAATGCTTGTCCACTGTTGGGCAAACCACCAAACCCTTTGAGATTATAGCCTGGATCCTGTCTATGTCTTCTATAAGTAATCACCATGGAATTTAATTAAACTAATCCCAGGTGAACAAGCATGGGTTTTCCAACTTTAGTGTTCTGGCAAGACTAGCCATGTATAAATCTGTGGCTTGAATGAGGAAACACATTGTAAACGTTCCCATTGCTATGCATGTGTTTCTTTTAAAAGTAAGAGGATGGTTATTTTTTATTTTTTTGTTGTTGTTGTTGGTAATCCGGGAATGTTCCCACTGCTATGCATGTGTTTCTCTCAAAAGTAAGAGGATGGTTATTTTTTTTTGTTATAGCTCCCAGAACAAATAGTTAATGTTTTAGCTCTAGATCAATGTCTGGTGACAGTAATGGATTGCATGAGGGCTAACAGATTGAAACTTAATCCAGACAAGACAGAGGTGTTTCTGGTCAGTTGAAAGGCAGATCAAGAAATAGGGATGCAATTGGTACTGGATGGGATTACACTCCCATTGAAAACACAGGTGTGCAACTTGGGCGTGTTCCTGGATTCGTCTTTGAACCTGGATGCCCAGCTTTCAGTAATGGCCAGTTCTTCCAGAGGTTTGATGTGGCCACAATGACACACACCTTAGTTACATCCTGGCTGGATAACTGTAACCCACTCTACATGGAGCTGCCTTTGGAAAGAGTTCAGAAACTCCAACAGATGCAAAATGCTTCATCCAGATTGTTCACTGAGGCTGAACTCAGATATCACATACCCACCCTCTGTGTTACAGCAGCTCTACTGACTGCCAATATGTTTCTGCACACAATTTGAAGTGCTAGTTTTAACCTAAAAAGTCCTGAATAACTTGGGTCCAAGTAATGCACACAATTTAAAGTGCTACTTTTAACCTTAAAAGTCCTGAATAACTTGGGTCCAAGTAATATGAAGGACTGTGTCTCCCTTTATGAGCTTGTCTGGGTGTTAAAGTAATCAGGGGATGCCTTTTCCTCAGTCCCACCCCCTACACAAGTGCATTTGGTGAGGATACAGGTACAGTAGGACCCCTGTATTCAAGGATCAGTACCCATGGTTTCACTTATCCATGGTCTGAAAATATTATGAAAAGAAAAAACTTGAGAAAAAAGCACATATTTTCACATGTAGTCCCACAAATGACCAGTAGAGCGAATAAGAGAAAATACTACTGTACCCTGTTTCCCAAAAAAAATAAGGCCTAACCTGAAAATAAGCCCTAGTCTGACTTTTCAGGATGCTCGTAATATAAGCCCTACCCCAAAAAGAAGCCCCAGTTCAGTGAAACCCCACCCTCCACCATTGTGCAGCAACCAGAAGATGATGACATGACTGTATACGGATATATGTAGATTGTTGTACATGAAAAAACCATCCCCTTAAAAGGAACCATAATGGATTTTTTGGAGAAAAAATTAATATAAGACCTAAAAGGAGCCGTAATGGATTTTTTGGAAGAAAAAAATAATATAAGACCCTGTCTTATTTTCGGAGAAACACGGTAGTGAAGAATATACTGCATGACTACTGGTGCTCTCTAGTGGCCAGTTCTGGTAATGAATGTGAAAAAAATTCTCTCTGTGTATAGATCATGTTTGCTATTATCCGTGATTTTCAGTACCCACAGGAGGCTTGGAGTTCTCTCTGTGTAGATAGAGATAGATCATGTTTGCTATTATCCATGATTTTCAGTACCCACAGGAGGCTTGGAGCCAATCCCCCACAGATATAGGGCCCTACTATACTTCAAGGATGAGAAATTTGTGGCAAGACTGAAGTACTTAAACATGCCCACCATCCGCAAAGAATTCTCTTTTTTTCCTGAGCCCAATGGGAGGGACAGGACCCTTGCTCTCTGATTCCATTTCTGATGTGTTGCTTCTGACTCATCATCTTAGACTACCTCCAGATAGTCCGATGCCTTGAGGGGATGCGCCAGCGGTGCTGCCGTCTGAACCATGACTTGCAGGGAGCCCAGGAGCAGCTGCGCCGGTCAGAGTTTGAACGTTCAGTCCTGGAGGTGAAGCTGAAACATGCCCGAAACCAAGTGGAGGTAGAGATGAAGAAAAGGCATGGGGCAGAAGCTGAGCTGGAGAAGCAGGTACTGTTGGTCACATCTGTTCTGTCCAGTGATGCATGTTAGGGAAAAAACAGCCTCTTTGTGTGAAAAAGGCATTGTCTTTCTTTGCTCTTCTGGATAGGAATATGCCAGACCTTTGGTCCATCCAGTTTAGTTTTTAAACATTGGCTGACATCCCGTTGACATAAGTATGGCAAAACTATACCAACTGGTAGTCCAGATCCACCAGCAGAACCACTGCCAGCAATTTTAATATTTTATTGGGGGGGGGCTTCCCCTTTTCCTTAAGGTTTCTAAAGGCTTCCCCAGCAGAAGAAAAATTCCTAGGGATCCTTGGAACCTTAAAAGGGGGGGAGGGGAGATAGGAGGTCCAGCATTTAATTAAAATGAAGATTAATAGCACCAACTGATGCTACTGCCACCATTTATGTGGCATAATTGTGCCAACTGGATTTCAGTTATTGACTGGTCACAGCTCTCCAGGGTTTCAGACTGGAGTTTTTTTTCCACCCTTACCTGAAGATGCTGAGCATTGAACCTGGAACCTTTTGCATGCAGTCATGTGCCCTACCATTGAGCCTAGGTGTTGGCCATTGTTCTGCTCGAGCTTAGATCATGGAAGTAAACCAGATCTGGTTGCCACAAGAAGAAAGATTTATGCATGATCTGAACAAAATTAGGAGCAACTGCTTGCCACATTCTGTTGGGTGGTACAACCTGGTCTTGAGGCACTGTATGTACCAGATTCAGGATGACTGTAGATGAATCAGGATGAATCTTGGAAAACAGATCTGAGACACTGAGCTACAGAACAAGTGTATAAAATTCACTTGCTCCTTTTAATTTGTTCAGTGTGCAGAGTCTGTATTTGGGGGTACAAATGTGCATAGGTTTAGTGCAGAGTTCAGTGCCATCTTGGACATACTTTCCATGGAAGAATAGTTCATTGGCATCAAATTGAGTTAGGAGAAATGGGTCATTGTGCCTTTTAATCCAACCCCCTGCCAAGGAGGGATGCAACAATCTTGGCACCCTTATGACTGCAAGTGGACTTCTCTTGAGCAATACGCCATTCTCCATTCTTACAGGCTCTTTGTTGCCTGTCCATCTCCTTTCCTGCTTTTCATTCTCTGCAGGAGCGCAAGCTGCAGCTTATCTATGACTATCTGATGGGAGATCCAGAGATCAGTCCTCTCACTGAGGACCAGCGCTCAGCCCTGGCATCTTTTGACAGACCACGTTTCAGACGCAGCACCCTCCTGCCTGGCAAGCGGTGAGTGGCAGGATAAGTGTAGGGTTAACTGAAGCAACTGATAAGGCATTCATGGGTAAGAAAAAAGGGCTAGTGACAAGGTTCCCTGAGAAGCTGTCTTCCATATCTGCCTCAATAGGTCCTAAAACAGAACCTCCAGTGGTTGACGGGATGCTCGTGCCCATGGATAGGCCTAGGAGGGCTTCATTCATAATATAGCATATATTAGCTGCCTAGAGTGGTCCTGAGTTGACTAGATAGGCGGGATATAAATAAAATAAATAAATAAAATAAATATGTCCATTATACAACTCATTTTGTTTTTCTTCTTTATAGCTTGTCTGCTGTGGAAGAGCTTGGCACCTCAATCTTGTCTGACATCAGTTTTGACCAATCAGATGATGAAACAGTAAGTATCCTGATCAAGGTGTGTCATGAAAGACCTAAGAAGGCATAAGGGCAGAGATCCCTAGTACTTTTCAGCTTTTGAGTACATTTGGTACAATATTTTGAGGAAAGTGTTACAAAATGACTGCCAACAGTTGGGTCAAGCCAATTCACAACATGACTGCTGAGATGAGTTGCATAACCCACATTTCACAGAAGATAAGTTAGTGATGCTCACTCACTCTGCCTGCCTTCTCCAAATCATTCCCCACCTGCTCCAATTTTTCCTCTCACCTTGGATCACCTACCAACCCATACTCCCACCCACGTGTATGCACACAGAGAGACTCCTTTTCTCACACACACATAACTCACAGACAGTATCCTCCATAATTTTCTCTGCTCAGCACATATATGAACTTTGCATATATGCGTATGTGCATGTGTACTTTACTATCTCCTCATATGAGATCCTGGTATCTCTTCTGAGCTCCCCAGTGGCCTCAGATTCCCCCTTTCTTTTAACAACAGAGGGTTTTGCCTGGCAGCCATGTCATGCTGGAAAGCAAAATGCTTAGATCTTTCAGCTTTACAGTTCTAAGATGATGATGATTTCTTGCAAAGTAAAGATCATAGGTTGGTGTTTTGTTTAGCAGCTTCCATAGCCATCAGGTAATGCTTTTAATTTGAAAAGCTGTGGGAAGCAAGTGGTTATAGGAGACACTTCGGGGGTGGGGGAAGGGTTGTGCCTGTTGTAGAATCCCTGGGTGCTACGTAGCAGCTCTGGAAACTCTTGCCACACTCTTGCCACACCCTGAGCACCCTGTGCCCTGCCCCAACAGAAGTACAAATTTATTTATTTGTTTGTTTGTTTGTTCGATTTATATCCCGCCCATCTGGTATATTCTACCACTCTGGGCAGCTATAGAATATCAAAACAATTTACAAAACATAAAAACATTAGCATACAACAATAACAAATAGTGCAGGAATAAATAAATAATAAATAGCAAAGCAAAAGAAATCAGCAGCTGACAGGAGGGAAGGCCTGGATGTACATCCATGTTTTCAGCTGGCATTTGAAAGTACCCAGCGTAGGGGCCTCGTGAATCTCTGGAGGAAGGTTGTTCCAAAGGCGAGGAGCCATCGCCAAGAAGGCCCAGCTTCGAGTCTTTTCCCTCCAGGCCTCCTTCGGCATCAGGCTCCTCAGCCTCACCTCCTGACTTGTGCGGGTGATCCAAGTAGATCTTGATGGGAGCAGGCGCTCCGCCATGTATCGAGGTCCTAAACCGTTTAGGGCCTTATACTGTAGGTAAGCATTAGAACTTTGAATTCAATGCGGAAACGGATGGGCAGCCAGTGCAGCATGGCCAGAACAGGAGAAATATGTTGGTGTTTTCTCACTCCAGTAAGGAGTCTGGCCGCTGCATTCAGCACCCCCTGAAGTGTCCGCATCAGCTTCAAAGGCAGCCCCACATAGAGCGCATTACAGTGGTCTCATTTTGAGATTACGATTTAATCCTTGAAATCAATTGCATACCTGGCAGCACTTACTGGATTATCTAGTACATCTTATTTTCAGAATTTGATGTGTTAATAACAACACCTAGGTAATTGACAGACATGGAAGTAAGGATGTTTTTCTAGAAATAAAGAAGTGGAGAGAGTAGTTTCTCCCCAAGATGCCCAGGTTTCAGTGGTGGCCTTTGCACAGTTAAAACTGGTGCACCAGCTGTACCCATTTCTTCAGATGTCTAATTGGGCCTTGATGACACATGACCTAGTTACATCCCAGTTGGATTACTGTAAGTGTACCCATTTCTTCAGATGTCTATCGGGCCTTGGTGACACATGTCCTAGTTACATCCCAGTTGGATTACTGTAACACAGTCTACATGGGGCTGCCTTTGGAAAGTGTTTGGAAATTCCAGAGAGTCCAAAAAGCAGCAGCCAGATTGCTGAGTGGGGCTGTTTACAGGGAACAAATAGCTCTCCTGTTACAGCAGCTCCACTGGCTACCAATCTGTTTCTGGGCACAATTCAAAGTGCTGGTTTTAACCTACAAAGCCCTAAACAGCTTGGGTCCAAACTACTTTTTAAAGACTGCATCTCCCTCTATGAGTCTGCCCGGGCATTAAGATAATCAGGGGAGGCCTTTCTCTCAGTCCCTCCACCCTCACAGGTGTGCTTGGCTGGGACATGGGAGAGGAGCTTCTCTGTTGCTGCTCCCAGACTTTGGAACTCCCTCCCACAGGAGGCCAGACTGGCCCCATCTTTGCTGTCCTTCCACAACCAGGCAAATACCTTTATCTGGCAGGCTTTCCCTTAATGACTGGTGGTGTGAGAGGCGTTTTTTAATGGACTGCTGTGCTTTGTTGTTTTAAATATGTTTTAATATCTTAGTTACCATATTGATATGGTACTTGTTTAATTCTTTTTAAATATTCGTATGCCTAGTGTTTTAGTTTTAAAATATTGTTTTAGTAATGTAAACCACCTTGGGTCCTTTTGGGAAGAAAGGTGGCATAGTAATATTTTAAATAAATAAAATAATAAAAGATATAGCTTATTAAGAATAGTGAGATTAGTTCAAAAGCAGCCTTGCTTGCACTTGTGTGTTCAGCACATCACATATCTACCCTTTTGTAAGCATTTTGGAAAAGTACTAAAACATTTTTACTGTAATGCAGCTTGAACTGGAGGAAGGACAGTTTTGGGACAAAATGGCAGCCCTAAGCATACCTCACCTCCTTAACGCACTTACCATTCTCCCAAATCTCCAGAGAAATTGTGCAACTATTTAATTCAAACACAAAATAGAGGACCAGCATGAAGCAGGGGTGTGAGCTTATTTAAGTATAATATCTGCCTGAAGCATTTGGGAGAGAAAAAGGAACTAACTTTTGAGTTATTGATTCATATGTGTATGTCCAGCAAGTTACAAAATACTTGTGCACAGCCCAGCATCTACTCATTGAAGACAGGAGCATCTTGTTCTGATGAGAGCTCATGTTGTTAGGGAATCACATACCGACATGATTTCTCTACAAATCCAAAATGCTAGTATCTCTGTAAAAGTACAGTCCTTGAGTGGAGCAGGGATATGTGGGGCTGCTTGTGAAATAAGGAAATATATCTTAATAAGATTACATGCTAGTGTTCCATTAAGCTGCTTCTGACTTTGAGGTACATGACTTGTTGAAGGAGTGGTTTACTATTGCCACACACAGCCCAGTGAGTTTCTATGGCCCAGCAGAGCTATCTCAACTCTGGTATTTTTAATCCCTATCAAATACTGTATTCACTATAGCACATTAGGCTTTAAAGATTTTATACCTCTGTAGAAATCAGATATGAAGGCATGTAGATAGATTCTTGCAACCATCCGCACATGAAGGCATCTTCATTATAATGTATCAACAGTTCTAGTCTTGTTTTCTGGTGCCTGTCAGTGTTGTAAATCTCTTGGCCCCTTGTTCTTCCATCTGAGCAGTTTGCTGCATGCCAGAATTTGAGTCTGCAGTGAGTTCTTTTTCTCTCTTTCAGTAGAATTTCAGGATCACAGAATGGATCATAAAGAAGGTAGAGGGAGTTGGCTATCCAGCTGGACCAAAATTGGTTTCCCCGCCAGATTTCAGTAATTGTGTCACGGTGTGATCGGATGGGCATTTGTCCCAGCGTTTGGTCTGGGTTGGCAACAGGCTGGTTCACTCCTTTTCACAAGATATAAATGCCAGCATGAGCCAACTTGTCCCTGAAAAGTGCCTGCTTGCACCTTTTTGAGTCCCTACCAGGGGTTACTGTTTCTTGGTGCAGGTAGCATCATTGCATTTTTGTTCGGTTCCAGCATGTGCAATTGCTGAAACTGAACCAAAGTGGGTGACTTAATCTGTCCCTTTACTTAAGCCATTTAACAATCTGGAGAAGTGGAAAGTTTCCTTCTCACTCCCTTGGAGAGGGGAAGTTAGAGGATGTTTTCTGTTTCTTTTTAATTATTGCAAACATATTGGCAATGCTTTGAAAGGCTTTTAAAAAAAGCTGTTCCAGTGCAGTACAGTATTTATGTACTATGTCAGTTAGAAACAATTAAAAAATTGAAAGCCCCCCTCAGTGGGGAACGGGAAGGAAGCGTTCCATTTCTCAAGAGCATTTAGAGGGTCAAGCAAAACACAGAGGAAGAGACAGGAGGGGATTTTTTCTTTGTTTTTGTTTTCCCTTTATCTTTAAAGGGAAAGAAAACAGGTGTAGCTCATACTAAATAGGGTCATTTAATGTGTGGTACATGTGGATTAAAGGATAGCCCCAAATGATATACTGTGCCTCAAAATCACCCTGTCTAGCACATCCATTTATTCCTGGCCACTTTAAATTAAATTGAGGGTTTCCTGGTGGTCCTCAAATGCTGATATGGTCTACCAGGTCATGCACAAGATTGCTCCACAGAGATGGGGTATCCACTGCCTTGGATTCTCCATATGGCCTTGCCCTTTAAACTTCTGGATTCCACAGTGGTGCAGTTAGTCATCATCTTAGATATCTAGATCCTTAAGTCCCCATTCTGCCATGGAACTCACTGGGTGACCTTGTGCCTGTCACACATTCTCAGCCTGACTGAACTGGCTAAGTTGTGAGGAGAAAGAGAAGATCAGGAGAGCTATGGGTGCCCCATGGAACTAATTGGGAGAAATGAGGGCTATAAATATAATTAACCAGTTCACTCTTTAAATAGCAAGGGCATAGATACAATCTGCTTTTGGTAATGGGTTGCTGCATCCTACACAGGCTGTAAAAATGGCAAATATATGGTACAAACTTGGGATGGAATGAAGAGATGAGATATGCTCCAATCTAAAATGAGAATTAACTGGTAAATAGCTTGTAAATTACATATCGTTTCAAAATTTCTCCACTTTTCAAGGATCTCAGTATGATGAAGCCTGCCAAGAGCAAAGACAGAGGGGTAAGTAGTGACATTATCAGGGGGCATCCAGGTCTGCTTCTAAACTCGAACCCTCATCCTATCCCAGGCCTATGTGGCTATGACCAGTCTCTTTGATTAGACATCATCACTGGGCCAAGCAAGAACTGAAGTTTTTCAGCCCACCTGCAGTTATAACTCTCTTGTTCAGTCTTCAAGTATGTGAAAATCATCCCATCTGCATCTGGCTCTGAGCTTTGGAATGTTACATTTTTGGACTCTGCCTTCCTGAGGGATTTTGGTATTTGTATTCCAAAAAGTTGCTTTTTGAAGTTCTGATCTCGACATACAATCTTCTCTGCCTTGACCATATTCTGAGGCGTGATGAAAGTGTGACAAGTGTTTGTACAGCTTGCCCCTGCCCCCAAATTGCATGGGGAAAGGCTCTTCCTGTTGATCTCACCCCCCTCCTTTTCCCCTCCATCTCCTTTAGCGCTCCTCTTTGGCTCCCTTGATTCAGCCAGTGGTAGCAGCCAAGCGTGCACGGACATCCACAGCACCTGTTTCCAGTGTAAGTCTCCGTCTGTCTCTGGCCCAATATCTGTACAAGTGAGAAAATTCGGAATAAAAGGCTTTACCTGGGATAGTAGTATAAACCTGGCTCTAATGTCACATCAAGGATCTGGTGCAAAAAAATAAATAAAGTGACAAGCTGCAGTCTAGGAATTTGAGCGTGTGTGTGTGCACGTGCGCACATATGCCGTGATCAAATAAGACAATGACGCATCAGTAGCCGGCAGGGGGGATGAGGATTATAATCCAGTGTATCTGGACAGTATGAGATTGGAGAAAGCTAATCATATAAAAACTATAAAAGGCAATAAAACAAAACCCCGTAGTACAGGCTGGCCAGGTCAGTGCCTGGGCAGAGAGAGAAGGGTTTTGCCCTGAACAATAGCAAGGTTGGTGACAGTCACACATCTGTGAGAAGGGTGTTCTGCAGATGGGAGGCCATACCAGAGGCTGCTCTTTCCTTGGTTGTTGTACATTGAATGGAAGGCACCTTCAAGAGAGGATTTCCTGCTGCTCGAAGGAAATAGGAAGGCTCATGCAAGGATAAGCATTCCTTCAGGTATTGGACTGAAATGAATGGGAGCTCTTTTGTCAGTCTGGAGTTGATAATAAGAAGGTGAGGGGATTTCCTGTATTTCAAGAATGTTCTTTTAAAGTTCCCCCAAATAGAACCCTGTAGAACCTGTACAGTTATAACTCTGCATGCTTAATCTGATCAAGAGCACCCTTTGTCATCACTGTTTCCCCCATCTTCTCCTCCTCCTCCTCTAAATCTTCCCAGACTAATGGAGTGCCTGGGGTGACTCTGAGATCAGCAGCCACAGTGGAGAGCAGAAGTCCAGCAAATCGTTCACTGCCTGTTGCTGTGGTGTCTCGTCACCAGTCCCAACGGAGCTGCTCCATCTCTGTGCATTCAGGTGCTGCTGCCTCATTCAGTTTTGCCTGTTTCTTTGGGAGAGCCGGGGCACCATGTTGAAAAGATACAGGGCACAAGTAACTGAGGAATGTTGGCAGAAGAGTTATCTGTGTAGTAAAGTGTAGCTGTAAGCAGTAGAAGACTCCCATCCGCCGTCAGCTTCTGCTGTCTTCCCACAATGGTACCAAGGGAGGCAGTGCCAAAATCAGATGTAGAGAATCAGTGACTCTCCAGATGGGAGGGGAGGGCTACTTTTCCCAAAATCCCTTGTCACCGGCTGTGCTGATTGGGATTTCCGGGAGTTGATATCAAAGGATCTGAAGAGATGAACATTCTTCAGTCCTGCAAAAAAGGTTTGTGAAGCTAACATTTATACAGGCTCCCTGTCCTGACTTCTTAACTGTGGTTTGAGGCAGCTGCAGTTGTTCACAGATGTGGGTGAGTGCACTCTATGCATGGTTGAGATTGCTTTGTCCCGTTTCATATCCCTTTCTCTGAAGAAAGGTTGTGGCCAGAGATACGAGCAAGTGGTGCTACCCTAGACACAAAACTAAGGTCAACTGATACCTGCAAGGAACAGTTTGTGTCGTGCGTTTCATGGGCACAGCTTGAGGAGGCCTGAATGGTTCATTGATGGTTTCAGAAGTAGGATTCTTTTTTTCATGGGAGCTTGAATTGTAAGAGTGCCTTTATGATGGCATGGTTAATTTGAGTCTCCTTCCTGGGCACACTTGGAGGTGGGATCCTGGAGTCTTCAAATTCTGAGTCTGTTCTCCTACTCCCCCGTTGTCTGAATGCTTGATTCGGACAACGTATTCCCAACCCCAGGAGAGAGAGCAAGGCTCTTGTCCCACTTTAGTCAGAGCTCCTAGACAACTTCACACTTGAAGACCAGCCCTGTGAAGATCTTCATATTCACCCCACTGAGTTTCATTCTCTGACAACTTAAATTAGGTAGATTAGTATTAGGACTGAGCAGTGCATGCTGGAATGTACCAATCAAAATGATGGAGGAATATGTCCATTTGTTCCTTGTGCTGAGTGTGTTCCTTTTCTCCGTAGATCTCACTTCCATCTGGGGCAGCACTGATGAGTCGGTTGGACGTAGCAGTCAGGATGAGGGTGGTGCTGTTGGCACAGAAACTGGGGCTAAGATGAGAGGGGCTCAGGACCCCTTCACCCCTTCTCCTTCACAAGAAACACCACCACTTCAGCACCATCATTTTACTTCTAAGACGGTACATTTGAGGGCCAACTGCATACTGTACATGTTCAAGGTCCTCAAGCACACACAAATTGCCATTGTGGGGACTCAGATCCTGAGCAGGATTATTGCTGTAAAGTGCTATCAACTTGTTTCTGACGCTATCAATTATGGCATCTCCAGAAGGTCTTATCGTAAACAGCCCTGCTCAGGTCTTGCAAACCAAATGTTGTGACTTCCTTTAGTGAGTCAATCCACCTCATGTTAGGTCTTCCGATTTTCCTACTGACTTCAACTTTTCCAAGCATGTATTGTCTTTTCTGAGGAGTCTTTTCTTCATTTTTGTCTTTTTCCAGTGAATCTTTTCTTCTCATATGTCCAAAATGTGATGGCTTCACTTTAGCTTTTAGGAAGAGTTCAAACTTGATTTGGTCTAGAATCCACTTACCTGCTTTTGTGGTTGCTCACTGATATCTGCAAATCTTTCCTCTCACCACATTTCAAATGAATCAATTTTTTCCCTTTCTCCTTTTTCATTCTCTATCTTTCACATCTCCACAAAGTAATCAGGAGTACTACAGTGTGGATGATCTTGGCCTTAGTCTCTAGCAACACATTCTTACTCTTAAGGATCTTTCATAATTAGATGCTTTTCCAAGTTACATTCTTCTTCTGCTTTCTTGGTTATAGTCATGTTGGTTGATTGGACCAAGGAAATCCACAACAATGTTGATTTCTTCATTGTGGACCTTAAAGTGATGTAATTCTACTGAACTCATGATTTTAGTCTTCTTAAAGTCCAGCTACGATCCCACTTTTGAACTTTTGTCTCTGACTGCCATCAACAGTCAGAGTACAACTATAGCATGGGAGATAGGTTTGTGGAAGAGGTAGCCATGTTAGTCTGTGCTAGCATGTCAGGCAAAAAGAGCAAAAAATAAAGAAGACAAAAACACAGTTGTGACGTGACCCTCTTTCCTGCATGCCCCCAGGTTGCTTCACTAACCCAGGGCACATGAGCCACAGTCCCTTTTTTGCTGCCACCTGTTGGACCTTACCAACAAAATTTACTCAGAAAGATTGAGGTCCACACGCTGTGTGACTTTCAACATAAAACAGGTTTAGTGATTACAACTCATTTGAATAAATTGTTAAAAGATGTTAAAGCATGTATTGGCTTCTTAATAACTTATTCCTGATTTAACTTTAACATCCTCACTCTCAACTGCCACCTTTAACTCTCCACAGCCTAACTCCCCACATCACAGTTAAGTCTCCAACTGTCAAGCCTATAACTCCAACTCTCTCTCTCTCTCTCTGACGCACCCCCTCCCTTCTAGTTTCACTCTGGCTCCGCCTCCCAATAACTCCCATTGGTGCAGGCTAATACCCTTACATACAGTATATGGAAAGGAAGGGTGTACACTACAACAGTGGTGCCTTAAAGACTAACTGCTATATTTTAATGTTCACTTTTGTGGACAAGTCCCCTTATTTAGACATGGGAATGAGACTGCTTGGCAAATTATACAGTTATGCATGGCCCCCAAACAAATAGGCTGATTGTTTCCTGTACACAAGTACTGTAGTTGATGATGTGGCATTTCACATGTGTGTATTTGACCATTGAGACCCCTGTTGATGTTCAGTTCCTCTTCCAGGAAGCATCCAACATGTGGGGTCCCAGTCTGGATGAGGGGACATGACAGAAATTTGTGTGGGAGGGAACATGACACGACACTCAAGGCCAGAGAAGTAGGCAGCTCAGGAGATGTGTTGGTTGACTTGGGAAATTAAAGTGCCTTTCTAACTCCCTGCTCCCTTTCAGTGGCACTCTCAGCTTGCATGCCTTTGGGCTTGGGGGCTCTTGAGGAAGGGGAGGATGGGGTTCACCTTAGCCCTCTGTGCTCAAGGTGAGGAGGATGGGGTACTTGGGATAAATGGTTTTAGCCCAATTTGCCACACACCTGAGTTAACTGGCAGTTTAAGCTGCTGAATATTATAATTATTATTGGAGGGGACCTCCTATAGAAAAAGTGACATCTAGATTTATTTCCTTTTGTAAAATAAAATAAGAAAGCTAGTTTTTGTCAGAGATGTACACTGAAATAGGAAAGTGATCAGAATCTAAGTTGCAAGTGACTACTGCAAGTGCAAGGAGCCATGAGGCTCCTGCCTCTTGGGAGCAGAGGCAGTGTGTCTCCTCTCCCAAAGAGAGATGGGAATGTGAGAAGACGGTGGGGACATCAGGAGGCCTAACAGGGTCAGAGTGAAGGTTGAAGGAAGATCGGCACAGATCAGCTCGGGTACAGGACAGTCTAGAGAACTGGAAAAGCTCTCCCCTACCCTTTCTTTCCTCCATCCCTCCACTTCTCCCTGATGAAAAAACATGATTTTCTGTGTAAGCTACAATAAATGTCACAAAAGTGGGTAGGAAATGGCACCATGGGATACAAACTCTGGCTTGTTGCTTCACTTGAATGTCATAGAAAAACATGGGCTGAGAAAGCCCAGCTTCCTTTTCTCCTTGATCAATGCTGTGCTGATTTCATCCATTCCCTGTCCCTTTTCTGTGCCCAAGGTGATCCATCCAGAGTGCTGTGTGGTTTGCAAATCTCGTCTGCGTTTTGGGAAGATGGCACTTAAATGTCGCCCCTGCCAACTATTGGTGCATCACGAGTGCAGAGAACGTTGTCACTCTCCCTGCATGCCAGGTGCCCGCCCCAGAGTAAGGGAGGTGAGTGGGATATCTGATTGTGTACTGAGAGGATAAGGGGATCCTGCTGCTGGTGACTAGTGGCATTTTCTGGAATAAAAGTAGTCATGTTAGATGAGGTGACTTGTGTACAATGGGAGGTATATTTAGATTTTATCTTACACTGTACTGTACCACTTTTTTCTTAGGGCATTCTGGCTGATTTTGCTCCCTCCATGCCACCTCTGGTGCCCTCCATTGTGATTCAGTGTGTGAATCAAATAGAAAAGCGTGGCCTGAAGGAGGTAAGTGGCTCAGGATCATGGCCCAAGTGTGGTATGTGCGAGCCTGCTTGTGCCTTTATTTGCCATTTCCTTTTTAGCTGTGCTACTTTCCATTCCATGCTGTGTTTTCATTATTTCTTATGTTCAGTTCAACTGCTTGTTGTAACCATTTATGGCTCAATGGAATCATTTTAGTCCCTACCCAAATGATCCTAGGGAAGAAGGGCAAGTATTTCTTCAGACGGCAATTTTTTAAATTCACTTTCCTCAAACGTATGGCCAGCCATTCTCTGTCGGGTCTTCCTGCTTACTTTGCTGAGTGAGTGCCTGAATTTCTGTCATGAAGTTCTACCATGATAGCACAAATGGTGTCTAATTTTTTAAAAGCTATAATTGCTGTGTTTTGCTGTTTCCTCTTCTCAACCAGAATTTCCGTGTCAGTTCTATAACATGAGGAACTGTCCAATACCATTCCTTTTCTCTCCCTCTCAGGATAAAATTGCACCTTAGCAATAAGCTGGAGCAAAAGTATCTGTTCTGGTATTCGCAAAGGCTTTCACGGCCGAGATCTAATGGTTGTTGTGGGTTTTGCGGCCTCTTTGGCCGTGTTCTGAAGGTTGTTCTTCCTCACATTTCGCCAGTCTCTGTGGCTGGCATCTTCAGAGGACAGCACTCTGTGCTCTGGTGTAGTCTGCTTAGGAGTTGAGTATTTATGGCTGTGAAAAAGGCTTTTGTCCTTTTCAGGAGATGGGTGGTTAGTGTGTCTTGTTGTGATAAGGAGGAGAGATTATCTGTCACTGTGATTGATGGGTGTCATTAGCTGGTCTTTTATGTGTAGTGATCCCCGGTCCTTGTTGCTGGGTAGAGTTCGTTGACCTTTTGCATGCTGTATTTTTCAGAGCTGGGAGCGAAGTTTTGGCTCCCATTCTTAGATGTCATGATCGTATGCAAAACTGACCTCTGACTGGGACACAAGGTCTACAGAAAACCCACCCACACAGACCAATACCTACACAAAAACTCCAACCACCACCCACAGCAAAAAGAGACATAATCAAAACACTGGTAGACCGTGCAAATCAGAACTGTGAAGTTCCGTTTCTCAGCACTGAACTCAGCAATCTGAATTGGGCCCTACAGGCAAATGGCTACTCCAAAAATGAAATCACAAGAGCCATCAAACCAAGAAAACAACACCAAACTGAAGAGGAAAAACAGCCACCCACAAATAAAGTATTTCTGCCATACATCAAAGGGGTCAGGGACCGCATGGGGAAACTTTTGAAAAAACACAACCTACAAACAGTATTCAAGCTCACCACAAAAATACAACAAATGTTATGTTCAGCAAAGGACAGAAGGGACCCCCTCACCACTGCAGGAGTGTACCGGATACCTTGCAGTTGTGGCCAGGTATATATTGGAACCACAAAACGAAGCATCCACACCAGAATCAAAGAACATGAGAAACACTGCAGACTAAAACAACCAGAAAAATCTGCAGTAGCTGAACATGCCCTACAACAAGCTGGACATGAAATTCTATTTCAAAATACTGAAATACTGGACAACCCCAGCAATCATGATGTCAGACTGCATAGGGAAGCCATAGAAATCCACAAGCACCAGCAGAACTTCAACAAAAAGAAGATAGTTTGAAACTCAACAAAACTTGGCTCCCAGCTCTGAAAAATACAGCATGCAAAAGGTCAATGAAGTCTACCCAGCCACAAGGACTGGGGATCACTACACACAAAAGACCAGTTAAGGACACCCATCAATCACAGTGACAGATAATCTCTCCTCTTTATCACAACAATACACCCACAACAAGACACACTAATCACCCATCTCCTGAAAAGGACAAAAGCCTATCTCAACAACAATCTGTTCTGGGTTTGCAGTGGACACTTGTAAAAAACACATTTGTTTTAAATTGGTGTCTGGCCAAATTACTGCAAAGGTGCAGCTGTGATTCCAAGCCTGACTGTGTGTATGAGGGAGAAATTTAGGAAGTAAACCTATCGGCTGATAAATAAGGCACACAGAAACTTCAAAGGAGAGTAGGAGCCTCAAGACAAGAAAGAGCAGGTGGGAAGAGCTGCAAGGACAAGCTTCTCCATTAAGGAAGCACATAGGCAGATGCCCTCCCCCACACATACACACACTCTTGTACACCCATTCTTTCAATTGAAAGAAACCAAATTCCTTTTCCTCCTCCTGCCTCCACCTTTTCTGCTGCCAACAGAAAGGGATTTTGAGGAAACAGTCCATTGGCCCGATTACCCAATTAAGCAGGTATAAAAAGGGACACACCTCCATATGTGAGGACTGACTATACTCCACCACAGACAGCCCTGTTCAGCACAATCTAGACCAGTGGTTCTTAACCTTTGTTACTCCGATGCTTTTGAACTGCAACTCCCAGAAACCCCAGTCAGGACAGCTAGTGGTGAAGGCTTCTGGGAGTTGCAGTCCAAAACTCCTGAGTAACCCAAGGTTAAGAACCAGTGATCTAGAGCATCTCAGGTCTGGCCCTGCTGCAGAGCAACCACCAAAGGCAATGCAAACAGCAGTAGCAAAGCAAAAAGCAAATTGTGCTGCTTATATACCACCCCTTAGCACTTAAAGCACTCTCTGGGTGGTTTACAATTTAATTATGCAGGCTACATCATATTACTCTCTCTCTCTCTCTCTCTCTCTCTCTCTCTCTCTCTGACAAGTTGGGTACTCAAGCCATAGCCGGATTGCTACTTCCACCCCCATCCCCGCAGCCAAACATGAGGAGGCGGCTGCAGCTGCAGTGCTGGCACTTTGACAGGCGGCAGGCCAGGATCCAGAGCAGCTGGTGCTGGCGGTGGATCCAGAGTGGGGTCTCGAGGCACCTCTGTGCCCTGGAATCCCCCATCCGCTGCCACTTCTGGTTCCACCACTGCCACTTCCAGTTCTGCCACCACCCACTGGTTTTGTTTTGTTTTTCCAGTTTGGGCACTCGGGCCCAAAAAGGTTCACCGTCATTGCCCTAGCCTCTCTTGCAGGGCAGAGCTGAATGTAAGTCTTCAAAATAAGCCTCCTGTTCTTAAGAATGATGGAAGGTCCTGCTCTGCTGCTCACATTGAAGTAAGATTCAGCTACCAGTCCAGCCAGCTTATGTGGCCTGGTACGGGAGATCTTGTCCTTTGCTTCAGGTAGCAAAACACTGTCCCTGGCTCTCCTGAGACCTGTGGTTCTAATTTGTGTTGGCAGTTTTAGACCAAAAAGTTGTGTCCTAGGCTCTGACTATATCTTACTTCAGCTGCTCTTTGTCTTGTTGTTTTCATCTGCAGACTGGGTTATACAGGGTGTCAGGTGCTGAGCACCTTGTGCGCGAATGGAAAAACAAACTGCTCAGTGCCCGAAGAGCTGTTCCCTCACTTGACCAGGTGTCTGATGTGAATGTGATTTGTGGCATCCTCAAGGATTTCCTAAGGAGTCTGAAGGAACCCCTGGTTACTTTCTACTTGCATTCAGCCTTCCTGCGTGCCGCAGGTGAGTTAGGGCAATAAAGGCTACTCTGGGGTATCAGTGGCTTGCAAAAGGAAGTTAGGAGACATGTGGTCTCTATGTCATATCTAGCCGAGAGCTCTGGAATTTACAGTTCCCAGAACCCCCACAAGCTCAGGCCTAGCCATACTTGCAATGAATGAGTAAGGTTCCCCTCTGTAAATGGGGACTGAGTGACTTCCTTGGTTGGTTCATAGGGAACATCTTTATTAACATTAATTGGGGGGGGGGGAACCCTGTTAAACATTGGTCTTCTCTTAGCTTCAGCCTTGTGGGGGGCCCTCCAAGAGCACTCAAGCTAAGGAGCTGGAGGCATTGAGGACTTGTATCTTTATTTTCCTCCTACCCAGAAATTGCTGATGACTCTGCTCGTTACACTGCACTTTGCCATGTTGTGATGAAGCTGCCCCTGGCCAATAGAGACACTCTGGCTTTTCTTATGCTCCATCTGCACAGGTGAAGAATTGTTGGTCAACAAAGTTTTATGCTTCAGAGGAGAATCAGTCGAAATGGTACTCAGGAGACAGTCTTAAAGGCCAAGGGTTCCCAACCTTGGGTCCCCAGATGTTCTTGGTGTTGAACTCCCAGAAGCTCTTGTCAGCACAGCTAGTGATGAAAGTTTCTTGGGAATACAGTCCAGGAACAACTGGAGACCCAAGGTTCAGAACCACTGTTACAGACCATCTATTACAGACTTCTGCTTATAAAAGGAATCTCAGAGCAAAATCATTGGCAAAAAGATGACTGGCCAAGCTATACCTGAAGACCTCCAACAAAGTTCAGACCTCGCCATCACCCCCAACTATTGTTTCCAAATGGGATCATTACACTATTGGGGGGTGGGGGGACAACTGTTCCCAGAATTCCATATTGGCTATGCAGGTTAGGCTTTTCTAAAAGCTGTAATCCAAAATGGGAGTTTTCCAAGTTCTGTTACCCACTTTGAGAAGTGTGGGACACAGACAGGTGCAGAACCGTTACCACCCTTATGGTCATTTCTGCCTTGCTTAAAAAATAATGCTCTGGGTACAGTGACTCCTACAACACACACTTTTTTCAGTTGTGACTTTTTTTAAAAGCAGTATTGTGCTTTGGGATCCTAGCACCTTTGTTAACTGTTCACTGCTTGAAAAGGCTGAGAACTAGCTTGGCCGGACTGTTTCCTTTTCATTTAATTGAGAGGCAGACAAAAAGTAATTCCATTGGATTTGACCATCCTGATGGAATTGGCCTTTCCCAAAATTTGTCACTGGGAGGAAATACGTCTCCTGTTTAGAATTTGCAGATTTGTGAGGTGTATGGGGTATTTCAGAGAAATAAAATGTGTGCAATACAATGTGCACATTTTAAACTGTGCAACTCAAAAAATACACATGGACATGCTTAGGGGAAAATAAATGGGGAAGACATTCTGTAGGTGCAGTATGTAGATAAATCTGAACATTAGGGAAAATGTATTTTAAAACTTACGTACTATTTCAAGACAAGGAGGGGGAAGAAAATGCAAGTGGATAATGAAACAGAGACTGAAAGACTTCACATCAAAGATTCCCCTTTTTGGTCTTAGAAGAAACAAAATTGTCCTGTGTTTACAGCATCCTGGGAGGAACTGGAAAGATTCCTAACTGGGGTTTCAAATCCCTATATCAGCTTTCCCTCAAAGGAAAGTGTTAGTGTGTTTATTATTTTATTTATTTACAATATTTTCTCCTACCTTTCTCTTTGGCTTTGAGCTCCCATTATTCCCAGTCACCATGGATAAACTGACTGCAGGATAATGGAAGCTGTAGGCCGATACAGCTGGAGTGGAGCTGGGTTGGAGAAGGCTGCCTCAGATTGTAGTCTTTGACCAAGAATGGCAACCTTTGTCCCAATAGCTACTGTAAGGAATTATGGAAGTTGTGTTCCAGAACATCTGGAGAGCCAAGTTTTCCCCACCCCTGGCTTTAAATCATAGTTCTCTTTTGTGGATTTGCTACCTCACCTCATTTAGTAGCATGCATGAATCATGGTTATAAGCCCTGTAGTAATGTCCTCCTCGCCTCACCTGTTAGGGAGGCTCTGACAGCATGTTGCTGCTGTGCCAACTATCTTGACCCCACGACTCCCTCTCTCCACCTTAGGGTCATGCAGAGCCCTGACTGTCATATGAACCGGCATAGCCTGGCACGGATCTTTGGGCCAACGCTCGTTGGGCACAGTACTCCCAACCCCACCCCACTGACCATCATGGAAGACACACCACGCCAATGCCTGGTAACAGCTGTGACATGTATTTGTTGCATGTAGGCACTGTCTTAATTGTTTCTGACCCGCAGTGGGACTGCGTGTGGTTTGTTGTTATGTGCCACAAAGTCACATCCAAATTATGGTGGCTCTCATAGGATTTTCAGGATATGTGAGATATTTAAGGAGTACTTTTACCAGTGCAAACCCACAGTGAGCATCCATGGCTGAGAGGGGATTTGAACCTGTCTCCTGTGTTCTAGTCTGATGCTTTATCCACTGCACCATACCAGCTTGGTCTGCATATCAGGAAAATGCTTCGGAATTGAGGATGAATTCCTTTTGTTGCGTGGGTGTGCCTCTCATGATGCATGTTTCCTGAACTATAGCACTGCTCCACTTAGTTGTGAGGATAGGCAGGAGGATCTATGTGGGCCCTCAAGCATTGTCTGTTGAAAATAGGCAGGAGCACAGGTTTATGTGGGCCCTCAAGCATTGTCTGTTGAAAATTTTGCTTGGCCTTTTTTCTTTCACTGGAGATTTTATCAAGTACTGTAAAAAAAAACTTCAATCCTACATGTGCACCTAAAGGTCTAGAAACCTACTGGCATCCACAGTGAGACATTTGCTGGCCTAGTATAAAATGAAACAAGCATGGATGGAGTCCTAACATGCAAAGCTTTTACAATGAACCATGGCTTCCAATTGCATAAGTTTTCATGAAACCAGAGAAAAGAGCTGCAGTGAGAAAAAGCACCCCAAGTTACTGCATGTAATCACAGGGCTTTGGCCGCCCACTTCTTAGTTGTTGCTCTTCTATGTCAGACAGTAGAATCCAGAGAAGCATTTGAAGATTTCACTTCATATCCTGGATTATGAGAGTGTTAATATATTTTACCCAAGTTTGTGTTTTTATGAAGTTTCACCCCATGCAAGCTGAGCAATTGAAGAGAGAGAAAAAGGAGTTAGGCGCACTTAGATACGTACTTCTTCAAAACATAAGCAAGGTTCTGCCAATGAAAGAAGCCAAAGAAGCAGTCCCAGGTAGGAAATGGAAAAAGACTCATCCTGGTTTCCACCTCCCACTCCCCACCAGGTGGTTTCTCATCTGTTAGGACTTCCCCTCAGATTTTGGAAACGTTTTGTGGGAGAGGAGCAGGAAAACTTGGTGCCATCTGTGCAACTGTCCAGTGGAGTGAATGAACAAGGTGAGTCCAATGGAGATTGTTTGGGGGAGAGGAACAAGGGGGAGCTCGGCCATACTAGCTGCTGAGAAATTCTGGGAATTATTATCCAACGAAGTGAATTTTCCAGACTGTGGTTTTGGAGATTCTTTTTTAAAAAAATAAAAATAAAAATGGGCGGGAGGAGAACGGGATCTAGCTTTGTCCTTGACCTTTTCCCCACAGAACGGTTCTTCGGCCCTCTTTCCCCTCCAAAAATCAATGCCATCTGGACAAGCCCAGGAAGCGGCTGCCTCCCAAATAAGCTCTATGACTGCATTGGTACCAGTCTCCCACCATTGTGAGTAACATGAGGAGTAGGCACAGCACAGGACTGCCTTTCAGGATATGGGGTGGATTGGGTTGTTTTTTGTTTGCTTTGTTTTTCAGACAATAACTGACATCAAGCTTGGCCTATGTACGCATGTGGTTCCCCATCACTAAGGTGGGGATGCCCTGTTTTATTCACTTACTTTTGTCTGCTGGACTCTCTGTTGAGAAGGGCATAGTCCTCAAGATTGGCCCTACCATTAAGCAATATGCAGGAGCTGCTTCAGGTGGCCTGGAAGGGGCAGCAACCTCCCACCTATTGTGCAGCACTGGAGGAGAGAGAGCTGTGTGTACCTCTTGGTGTGCTCTGCACCTCAAAACCCAACCTGCTGTACTTAGATGCAGAGGCGGTTAGTGCCCATCACCACCGTTGAAGTAAGATTTTACTGCCAGTCTGGTCAGATTTTGCAGATAAAATGGAGGTGGGCTAATATTTTAACATTCACTTCAGGCATTGAAATGTCTTGTGCTGATCCAGAGTAGAAGGTTTGCAACAGAAATGTCTGTCATTGGGCTTACTGCTTTTATTTTTGTTTTCTGCCAGGAATGCCCCCCGGAGTAAGAGGACAGGGAGATTCTTCCCCCTTCCCAAATAAAGGAGATTGCACAGACCGGTCAGTTGTTCCATCATCTAATGAAGACTGGGTGTGCCTATAGACCTGTGAGGGTGCATCCTTCCTTCCTTCCTTGGCTTTTCCTAGAAAATCCCTTGCTGCCACCCCTCCAGTTTCTGAGCCAGTGTCTTGCAGAGCACAGGTACCAACTTCCTGACGGACAGGACGTTGGTCTCTTTCCTAAGCAACCCTGCAACCCATCCTGTCTCCATGAACAGAGCTTCCTCTGAAGGATGGAGTCCTTGCCTTTCACACAAGTAGTGCCTTAACAGTAGACATGGTGAGTCTTGGGCTGCCTATGTGACCACATCTGTAACCACATCTGTATGGGGATGGAAGCAGGGCTGGTGGACAAGGAACAAACTTGCATTTGTATAACCCCCTCCCCTTTTTTGTTCATTATGTACTATTACACTTGTATAGCACAGGTATCACGGTGTGATGTAAAGGGTTGGGGTGGTGGAGAATGAAAGAGGACAGTGATTTGCCATAACTTTTGACTGCTGACATCATACCCATCATGAGAAACTGCTGGAGAACCCCACTGTTTTCTCCTCCAAACATTACTGGACTAGCACTCCCAACCTTCCTTTCCTGTGACTATGCTACTTAGGGGTAATGGAACTTGCAGCTCACAAGATGCCCTGCCTTAAAAGATGATAATCTCAAAAAGAGCACTGGGCTGATGCTTTTTTCTTTTCTTTTCTTTGTTAAACAAAAGAGTCCTATAATTCAGCAACGCGAGTATGTTGCTGTTGTGAATTGATGTTGTCCTAAATATCTTTCTCTCTACTTCCAGTAAACAACCCCTCCTTTGGCTACTGGTATGTTCCCCTCTGTACTCTAATGCAGAACCTTTCTGGTCTCCTTCCTGGAAAGGTGCTTCTCTTTGTATAAATGCTGTTGCAGTGGCATCTATATGCTGTACTAGGGTATTCAAGCCTTAAGGTAGTTAAAGATCATCTGCTGTGTGTTACACCGTAGTAAGGGAGATGAGCGAAGCACTGAAAGAAATGAAGGCACGCTAAATCACTCTAGCAGCCTTCCTCTTCCCTGAGGTATTCCCAAGCCTCATGCTGGTAAAGATAAGCATACTCAGACTATAACAATGTACCATTGTTTGTGACTTGATATGAAAGTTTAATTCAACAAATATAGGAGAACAAAGAGAGACCACCAGTGCCCTTTTTCTGACGCAAGTCCTTCCCTGGCTTAGTCTGTGACAAACAAGCTCCCTACCTTCTAAGACAAGAGTAGGGAACCTATTACCCTCCTGATGTTGGTGGGACTACAACTCCAATTGCCCCCAACGCCTGGCATAGAGGTCCCACCATCGGAAGAGCTGCAGATTGCCCTCGGCTGGTTGAGCCCATCTTTTGTTGCTCACTGGTGCAGAAGCACAAGAGTGATGTCTTGTTTATTCTGTAAGGCCACTATAGGGAACCTGCAGCCCTCAAAGTGCCGATGAACAGCAGATCCCCAAACTCCTTGCCAACACAGCCACAGATGAGAGATGATGGGAGCTGCACAACAATAAATCTGGAGGGGTAACACGTTATCTGCTCTTGGATCATAGATTTATCTCAGAACAGAGAGAAATCTGTTTTGTAAGAGCTTGTGTTTATAAAGGGAAAGCCCCCACCTCTCTCATGGAAATGTGTTTTATCTCTCAACCTTATTACTGGCTCATGTAAAATGAAATATATATATACATTTACCTATAAAAAACACAATCCACCTGCTTGATAAATGCTCAGTCTTGTGCTAGAAGCAGTATTTAAGGGAGAGAGTGCATTTTCTCCAAAGTAGCATGGGCCAGGGGGGAAATCTTTTCTTAGTCTTCACACAGGGAGGCTACTTTTTGATAGTGCACATGCTTCTGGCTTCCGCTTGGGCAGGTAAATAAATGGTCTTCTCAGTCACCCTTGAACCTGAAGCAGCAACTATTGCTTGAATGAATAGCACTGGCTGATCTGAGGAGGAAGCTGGACTCTTGCACACACTGGCTGATATCATCTTCATTCAGCCCCAGTAGTGAAGGAGGCCTGTATCAACTCAGTCTTCAGTCAGGACCAGTAGTCTCTCCATCTACTGACCAAGCCTGCTTGCAGACCACTGTAGCAGGTTTAAGAAGGCAAACCTCTATTGACAGTGTTGAAGATCAGGTTCTTTTCCCCATGACCACATCTCCTTGGGCTTTCCTAGTTCACCTTTCTACATCCCAGAGGTCAGGAAAAAAAACAATGTTCAGAGCACCAATGTTGTGTGTTAGGAGAAAAAGCAATCTCTTCATGGCTTGGGGCTTGCCATCCTATTCCCCATGTGTCATAGGCGCAGTAATCCAAAGTGCAAGGTAGTGTGATCTTTCACATCATCAGAGTGAATGGCGGTCAATGCCTACAGAAAGGAATGAACAAAGTTAGGATTACAGGAGGCAGGAGAGCCTGGACCCTCCTTCCTCTCCCTTATTGAAAAACAGCAGCTTTTAGCCACAAACCCATATCCTACTGGACTGTTCTTGGCCTTCTAGTTCTGAAGCGGGGAACTTACAGTCCTCAGCTTAATTTAGTGGGGTTGTCGGCAGGACTGCAAAAGCTCTCTATTATGGATCCATTTATAACTCTAGCAACAGTGACATACCCCTTTGCCAGCAGCCCTGCTGGGAAGGGGCGTCAGGGAGAAACAGAAGAGTTGGCACCTCCCCTGCTGGTTTCAACTCACCCACCAACACCCTCTGGCCCTCCTACCAGATCACCCATCCCTGCTCCAATGGAGAAATCTGAAGACTGTCTAGATGAGCAATCCTTTGTGCACCAGCCGTAAGATACTCTAAGCTGCTTAGAGCAAAATTAGGGTGGGAGTTACAGCAGTCCTAACTGAGTGGAGATATGGGTCTAGATTCAGATAGCTAAACCCAGCATTTTAGCCACTGGCATCCTACAAAAAATCTTCAACTCACTCCATTATAAACTAAATAGCCAAGAACCAAAATAGCCCAGTGGCAACCTTGCATTTTCTGTCTCATGCCCACTGTATTAAGATGTAGAAGCGATTTCCCAACAGAAGTTGAGAATGACAGTTCTCAAGCCAGAATGGAGATAAAGACAGAAAGAAAGGCACTTCACTAGGTAGCTTCCGCACACTCTTCATTTTCTTTCTAGAGCAGGGCTAGGAGGCTTCTGGCCCTCCAGATGTCTTGAACTTCAACTCTCAGGAGCCCAAGCCAGCCACACCAGTGGTAAGTGATTATGGAAGTTGTAGTCCAAAGGAATTAAAGGGCCAGAACTCCCTTACTTACATTCTAGCATGACTCCACATGATCCACCAACCTCCCGCACTTTTTAACTGCAGTTGGTCTGTATGCCATTCATCTTTAAGGCAGGGAATGGATGCTCACCTGCTACATACGTGGCACATGAATCTCACCAGCACCTGACCACACACAGAGAGCGAGCTATGGGAAGGGGGCAGTGGTGTGAGCCAGTCAGCCTATGGCACCATGGAAGACCAAGGAAGATACTGTAATTTGTTCTGGGGCAAGGCAACAAAAAGCCTTAGGCAAAGGCAATATTGTGTGTGTGTCACCAACCCATCTGCCAGTAACCTGCCTGAACATATCCCTGTGCTAAGTGCCAGTTAGTCACATGGTTATTCCATCAGCTCAGTAGCTTCAGCTGTATTGTTGCTATATGATATAGCAGTTCATCTACCCTAAGTCCTCTTGGCTCCAGACTGAAGCTGGAGAATTTCCAGGCTTCCTGATATAATTGAATTCCAGTTCCTACCATCCTTAAATCTGGCTAAGGCTGAGCACCACAAGTTCCCCATCCCTGCTCTAGGAAAAGGCTGGCTTCAAAGTAAAAGAGGAAGTTTCTTGACTTCTTTTTCCTGGCTGTTGCTCTCAACCACCTCTGTGACACTCTCATGCAGCACTGGAAAGGTGAAAAAGTCAAGAATAGCTTCCAAACCAACTCAGATGATAAAAAATACCACCAGCAGCCTTGATTCAATGCTAATAATCCAGTATAGTGGACCTATACAACTGGAGGGCTTGCTTTCATGTAAATGAGATGAAAGGGTCAACCATAGGTAAAGAAAATACTGTATTACTGTATAGAAGACAAGGGAATTCCTAATGCACTTGGCCAACAATGAGCAGCATCACACCCATGAGATGAAAAACAAGCATGGAGAGCAGGGCTGGGGATAAGCAGGATGTGCTGTGGTTTAGCTTTATAATAAACTAAATTTCAGGATTACATGAAAAATACTGTATTAAACTAAAGCAGAGGAAATGCAAAATCTGTAGCAGAGGGAGAGTGTGTGCTTTTGGAGACAGACACTGTTTGCTTGCCACTTGCAAGGGCTTCTCAGTACAGTATCAGCCTCTCATCTAGTTGAACACTTTATTATTGTAATAGGAGACACCATATTTTATATACTCATGATGCAGTGACTGTTCTGGCATTGTGCTGTCACTTATTGGGAAATAAGTGGGGAAAGCATATAATTTTTCTATGACTACTGTAAAGCTTTATTATGGCTAGGATTATGAAAAATGTAGAAGGGCTTCTTATGAGTGAGGTACTACACAGGTAATGGAAAATGATATGCAGTCATAAAATCCCCATCACACATGTAGTGATGGGAACTGAACTAGCTACAGGTTTGGCAGAAAAGAGAGGATAGCTGAGTGAAAATATTAATTCACGACATTATCCATCACCAGTGTAAACAGTAAATCCCATGGCCATAATCTGGTGGCCAGGACAGCTGGAGTATTCTGGGAATTTAAATCAAAAAGCTAACGTTTCCACCTGAGTGCAGACATACGTATTTGAAGAACTATGTGGAGCAATGATATAATATATCAAACTACTGATGTTTTGGACTTCAAATCACATCAGCTGAAGCCAACATAGCCAATAGTAGAGGACGATGGAAGTCCAATGACATCTAGCAACATCCATCATCTCATATGGAAGAAGAATATTGCAGAAATGGAAAAGGTAAAAAGAATAGGAACAAAAATAACCAAAGGTTTGGAGCGGTTCTCTCCTGATAAAAGGCTTTTAAAATGCAGCATTTTAGCTTAGAAAAAGCTAAGTGAAGGAGGAAGGAAACACATTAAATGCTTCCAAAATTATGAATGGCAATGGGAAAGGTGGATAACACTTCCATTTTTCATAACTCTAAAGCTCCAAGTCATTTTTTAATGGATTATGATCCAGGATGGACAAAAAGAAAATATTTCATACTTAATGTAATTAAGTCACTGCCCAAAGGGGAAAGGGCACCCTAGAGGATGAAAGGCAGGCCTCGCATGTGCTCTTCATTGTGCTGGTTAGGTGAAACCCCAATGTTCAGAGGCAGTTATACTACTGAATGCCCCCTTGCTGTGAGGGCACATGCCTTTCATGCCCTACTGTAGACCTCCCAGAGGGACTGAGCTAGCCACTGTGGGAAACGTGATGCTGGTCCACTGAACCCATTCACCAAGACTCCCTGTCTTTTTTTTAATCCTATATTAATAGTCTTGGGGGAACTTCAACAGACCTGTGAACCAATTCTCCTGCCCTGGCTTGTAAGTGGCTAGAAGTCCCCTGGCGTGGCCACACACCTTGTCTTCAAGGGGAACTGTGCTTCTTGGAATGCGATTCTCCTTCAGTGTGTGGGTGGAACTGGTGGTGGTGGAGCTTCTGGGGACTCCAGGGGCCATCAAATCAGGAATGAGTCACAGGCAGCCCGTGGGCCATGGGTTGCCCCCCCCTTCATGGGTAGTGCTTTTTCTGTGGGTCTACCAGTACACAGCCAATAATAATAATAATGAATACACAATGCCTTGCAATGGCATGACAAGGAGAGTGTGACACATCACAAGTAACATAATCTAGTCAAAATGCCCATGCCATTTCTGGAAACACAGTAGACAGAGGACTCCTGACTGCAACAAACATATTGGCAGCCTAAAACCCAGCTGGGGAGGGACATTTTCTCCTAGTGAAAAAAGGTGTTAGGAGAATGGTGCAGATAGACAGGGCTCTCTTTTTGCAATAAGAAGTGAGGTGAATATGCAAAATTCCAATAATATTTGCCTAAAAGAAATCCAGGTGAGACCTAGGTAGAACCATCTGTTTTCATATCCCACAAATGGTTTGGATTGCTGTCTGCAGGGAAGCCATCCGGCTCTTCGTTACTCAACTCTTTCCATGCAACAAAGATTACATCTCCATCTGCAGGTGCGTGCAGTGCAAGCAACAAGAAAACACTATCATAGAACATCTGAACAGATAAAGGATGAAAGGGAAGCAGCTAATTTTGTGTCTGCACGTGTCTCAATCCCCATAAGGCTACTGTCATGTCCATGATCCAGAGTGCTGGCCTCCCTTTGGAGCTGGTGTCTGGCACTAGACAGAAATACAGACCTGGCTTCATCGGACGGACAAGAGAGACCCAGCAGCAAGGCAAAAACGAGCAGCAGGGAAGAGGCTCAAGAGGCCAAGGCACGGGGCCTACCTGAGCTGGAGAGAAGCGGAGGAAATGGAGGGTACAAATGGAGGAAAGATGGAGCGTCGAGCAGCTTAAGAGTTTAGGGCATCGATACCTGCAGGCGTGAGCACCAGGGCTTGGAGGATGTCAGAGAGGGACACGATCCCCCGCGGGGCATTCTTCTCATCCACCAGAACCAGGCGATGGACCTGCCAGAGGAGTGAGCCATACACCATCACAGAGAGAACAACAGCAGTGGGGCAAGCAAATATCAATTTGTGAAATCCAGAAGGAAGGAAGAGGGCATTTAGAAAACCCTTGTCAATATTTCCGTTAGGCATGGTGGCATCATTATCCCCATAATCATCATCATCACTGATACATTGGATCCATACTTACTCACACCTAGAATGAATTCACTGAAGCCAATGGAACATAAAAGTTAGTCATGAGTCCCTTAAGTCCCATTGGCTTTAATGGGTCTGTTTGACACAGAGTATTTCTGCGTTATACGGTTATACAAATCCAGTACTCCTATAACTGACACAACTCCTATTTATGGGCTTCTGGCATCTGTAATTTGGTGCGATGCCTAGAATTTTCTGCTACAGAACCCAGGTGCTGTCTAGCAGAGAGAACTCTAGATACTGCTAAGTATATAATTATTATGGTTTTTAAATTGTTGTTCTATAATGATCCCTTTAATAGAGCTGGGGGTGGGGCTAATGGTATGTTTTAGGAATAGAGCATTCTGGGAACAACACGGTTAGGTACAGGGAAGCTGATGGCACCGTATGCAGCCACACAGCAGCCTGAAGTGACTCTAAAAGGAACATAGATGCCAAACAATAATTTCAGGGTCGCTTCACACATCACACCATTTTCAAATGTACACGTATACATGTGGTCTGGAAACATCCGTTGGTTGCAAATCCTTGCACGTGATATACAGCTGTTTCCAGCCAAACACCAAATGTAGGCATGTGGCACAGGGTACGAAAAGCAACCTCTGGGTTTGTGCTGGATGGCAACAAACAGGTGCTTGCTTCTCCACAGCCCTTTCCCGCACACCATGGGAGGCTTCCTCTTGAACCATCTGTCTCTTGTGGGAGGGCGCCAAGCATTTCCCCCTCTGAAGCCCCTTACAAGGGGTTCATCGGCAATAGCTTCTCCCTCCCCCAGATGATGTCCACAGGCACCCTTTGTTCTTCGCTGAAACATTCTACAAAGGGCAGCCCTTTCTTTCCTCCCTAATTCCGCCACAAGAAATGTCCCTTCTCCAGAGCTTGGAGAAGTTCCTTTTTTTGGATTGAAGCTCCCAGCCTTCCACAGCCAGCCAGCAAGGCCAAGAGCTGCCCTGCCTGGGGAATTCTAGGAGCTGTGGTTCCCCAAAAAAACCAATGTCCAAGCTTTCCCCACCATCTGGATTAAAGCAGGACCTCCAATAAGAGTCCCATGAGCTTCCTGCAGGTTCTAGGGACCTAAATGCAACTTCCAGTACCACCACCAGAGCCCACCAGACCTCCCAGTACCTCTCAGTTTAAAAACTATTTTTGGGGAAGAGCTGACTCAAAAAGACTCCTTTTGCCCACTAGGAAGATGGAAGCCATTTTCTCTTGATTTCTCTTTGGGAGACACAGACTTTGCCACCCCATTGCTAGAGACCCCCTTTTAAAGCCTTTGGGTTGCTAAAAGATGAAAACAGGTTTTCTCAGTCTAAAATACTAATGTTCTTTTCTTTCTGAGAAATTTTTCAAGGGTGGGTGGGAGTCAATATGGATATCCAGGATTCAGGGTTAAGTGTGTGCAAGCCCTTGGCTTGTACAAATCAGAGATCACCTATCACTGGATTAAAACTCTTTCCTTAAACAAGCAATCCAGTAGGTACTGGCTAATACACAAGGCACCATAATACCAAGATGTGAAACTGCCTCTGAGCTCCAGGCTAAGATTTAGAAGCAAATAAAGTTGGGTTGCAGGGAACAGGTGACAATGAACCTGCACATGCTCTGGCTTACTATACATCTGGGTTAGCATTCTGTAAACAAAGCCTTGCACAAGGAGCCTCTGGACTAGTTAAATGCTGCAACGGGCTCTCCGTTGTTCCAGCTGGCTCCTTCCTATTACAGCTTGGACCTCTTTCCCCCCCCCACGTCAAAATGGCTGCCTCTTTTCTTTCTTGCAAAAAGGAGTGCCTGATAGTCTACCAGTTTACCATAACTCAGAATCTCCAGATGTTGTGTGGACTATAACTGTCATCATTTCCAACGACTGGTCATGCTTCTTGGGGATTACACGAGTTCTTGTCCGACATCTGTTGATCTAAAGTTGGGAAAGACTGACCTAGTGCAGTGGCTATTTATGTTGAGGAGGCACCATAACCCCCTTGAAGGAAAACAGATCAGGGACATGCTTCTTTACCAGACAGATACGTACCTTCTACATCAGAAATACACCCACACTTACAATTCTTAGGCAAATATTTATAGCCTACAACTGCAGGTCTTCCATGAACAATCCCTGCTATGCAGACATGTTGAAAAAAAGAGACATGGCAAGCATGTGGCCTTCTAGATGAAGTTGAACTGGAAATGTCATTGTCCCTCATCATTAGCTAGAATAGCCTGATGGAAACTGTAGTCAACAAATATCTGGAATGCTACACATTCCCCACCCCTGGAAACAGCAGAGTCCATCACAGGGCAGACTAGAGACTAGCTGAATTAGAATGTGACACTGGGCATGGCTTGCATCACCAGCAAGCAGAGATGGAGAGGTTAAAGGTGACGTTTAAAGGACACAAAATCTAAAACTATATTCAGAGACCATGTTGAAGTAAGAGAATAAGATGTTTCCACCAGGTAACTATTAAATAAAACCCTGCCCTTCCCTTCCCCTCCATGCCCTCCTGCTGTCATACCTGCTCTTTGGCAATGCGATCAATAATCTTTTCCAGTGTTTCATGCGGGTGGCATGTGAGCACCCCCTCTAAGCAAATCGAACGCTGTTTCAGTGCTTCTCCCACACTAATGTCCAGGTTGTTGTACGACTTCTGGGCAGCCAAGTGCTATGGAGAAGAGTGAGCCCAAAACATGAACAAGGGAATCAGAAGAGACATATTGCGTCAAACTGGCAGAAAACATAGCATTACCAGGGACAATGCCCATCTTGATCCCGCTTTACTAGAGTGGACCTCTAGTAAAGCGGGATCTGTTTACTAGAGTACACAGATGACTCTGAAATTTGCATTGGAGGAATGATGTCAATTTAGGCCCTGGGTCAAACTGGCAGGTGAGTGCATACACATCTTAAGCACAGTGTTTCTAAAAGTTACTTTATTGGACTATAGCTCCCAGAATCCGTCAGTGGGGCAGTTTCACCATGTGGGCTTTTGAGAGTTGTCGTCCAAAAGGCAACTCTCCCAAACCCTCCACAGATATACCACTTCAATTGGGAAGCAACTGGCTACCATGGATCATGCTACCACCACCACACACTCCACTCTGCCTTTTTTTACAACTCATTTTAGATTCCTAATATGTTACAAACATACCAGCAGGCAAGCAAGAAACCAAGCTTCATTTTAAATAAAGGCAAGCAGGACAAAGTACTCAGAGCATGTAATATTTCACATTTCAAATTCAAATAATGAGTATCGGAATATGGTGGAGTTTCTTTCCGATGCCCTGATGTTAAAATAGATATATTTGGAAATACACACCATTTTGTTGTAGAAAAGGACCATATATTTGGACGCCTCTTACCCTGTTTGTGCCCAGCCAGTTGTCTTGACTATAACATTACTTTTTGAATATAGGGGGGAAAAGGAAGTTATCTATGCAAGAAACACTGGGCCCAATTGGTGCCAATATGATATACCAGGGCTGGTTGCCACTGCCCCTCTTCCCTGGTTGAGCACAGGGGATGGGTGCCCCTTCAATTCCAGCCCTAGTGGCACCCTTTGTTGTTTCCAGCAAAACCATGGCTCAGCCATCTCAAGCTGGTCAAATGCTCCTTGCAAGAACTTCTTTATGAAACACAGCACCACTGGACACATACAAACTCAGAAAGACATATACCCATAGGCAAACAATGCATTTACAGACAGCACAGTCATAAGAAGATGACATAATGTTTGTTTTGACACAGGCATATGTCTGAGCAACTGTATTTGCAAACAAAGCCCATTTTCGCTCTGTGATGATCCACAAAACAAAGGAAGTTAATGTACGAAATTTGAGATGTGCAGGTAGCTCCTGCTGTGACAATCAGCTATTTGACAGCATTGATTTCCTTTTCTCATCGTCGTTTAGTCGTGTCTGACTCTTCGTGACCCCATGGACCAGAGCATGCCAGGCCCTCCTATCTTCCACTGCCTCCCGGAGTTGTGTCACATTCATGTTGGTTGTTTTGATGACACTGTCCAATCATCTCATCCTCTGCTGTCCCCTTCTCCTCTTGCCTTCATACTTTCCTAACATCAGGGTCTTCTCTTCTCATGAGGTGGCCAAAGTATTGGAGCCTCAGCTTCAGGATCTGTCCTTCCAGTGAGCACTTAGGTTTGATTTCCTTTAGAATTGATAGGTTTGTTCTTCTGTACTAGTTATCCATAATGCATTGTTCGGCCCACAGTTATTCAAGTGGACCTCTTATCTCAAATAAGCACAGCACCCCCTAGAAGCAACGTAGGAGGACAATCTTCTTAGGCCTGGTTATTAAGTAAGTCTTTTCCCCATATTCATTTCATCTCCATCTCCTGTGTAACCCACTGCCAGCTTATTCTGACTTTAAGACAATATTCCTCATTATCTGACAATTAAAACCTGGAGGGGGCTGTGCCATACTTACAATCACATCAAAGCGGGAGTAGAGACCAACTACACTCCCTGTAAAGAGAGAGAAAGGAAGAGGGTATTAGAAATTATTCTGATACCCCACTTCATAATGTCAGTTCAGACATTTTATTGTCTAAGAATCGTGATGAACAAAATCTAGATAAAAACATTAAGTACTAATATATTGCAGACCATAAATTAGATTAATATATTGTTCTGCACAGTTGACTTCCATGGCAATTAGGGTGTCTGCATGAATACCTTTCAGAGCCTTGGCAGTTAGGGTTGTTTGATATGCAAAATGAATAAATCTTCAAGAAAATATTTCTATCTTGCAAGGATAACAAGATCTGCCCTATGGATCTCTCCCAAAAGTTGGGATATAGATGATAGTGGCACAATATGAAATGTCCTCAGCCTCACCCAAGCCACAAAAAGAGAGGTGTTGGTTTCGTGGAAAATACCTACACCTCCTATCCAAGAAAGCTACGGTTCAATAGCCTAGTTCTATAAATGCAGCATTCTGCAAAGCAAAAGCAAGTAATGTAAGAACCTTATGCCCTGGTTATTGCTCTATCCATATAACAAGCCATAACTTTTTTTCCTGACCTCCAGAATAACAAAAAATGTCAGGTGACAATTTCTGTAGAAACTACCGGAGAGAGTAATGTGAAGAAGAGGAATGCTACATACAGCTTTTCAGAGAAAAGGCAGAATATAGATGGACTAATAATTAATTAGTTGGGTTTGCAGAGTTTAAGACATGGGGTGATGAAAAAGAATGCTTATGGCCTGAGCCCATAGAACGCGGACAATGAAACTGCATAGAAAAAAAAAACAGCCGTGTGGAGCCCCCTCCCCAACACACCAGTACCTTTCTCATTAATGACAGGCAGTGCTGAGACTCTGCGATCCACAAATACCTCCAAGGCTGTGTAGACAGGAGCTGACTCCAGTACCATTGCAACGTCCCGGAAGGTGCCAATCCCCAGCTCCTGGATGGTTCTCTGTAGGAAGCGTGGCTTTGGAAGCATGGCTCCCTGGGTGACCAAAGAAGAGATGGTGGGAAATCAGAAAATGGCCTCTCCCTAGCCCACTGTGGAGGGAGACACACAGAAAGGTCCTTAAAAGAGGGATCAGAGGGGCCTGGTAAAGGCAAGCACAATGGGAGCATTGACTGGCGTTTCTCCAGAACCCAGAAACCCCGAAGTCTGTCTGTCTGTCTTCTCAAGAATGGGCTAAGTAATGCTAGCCGACATTGCATCAAGGCCCTGTCCACACTCAGTGTCAACACTTCACATCCTCAGGGCTGCAACAGCTCACCAAGACCACCACGCGTGCCTCCCAGGTACTAGGCGCCCTTTTGAAGAAACTTTAACTTCCCAAAACAACCTGATGTAGCATCAATCTGGGACACAACGGAAAACTCACTTGACAATGCCAGCTGCCTAGCACTGAATCTGATCACTTCCACAGCCCAGCTGCCAGCAGGTAAGCCTGCCCACTTATACAGTGGGAGGGAGATATAAAGGTAGGAAAGAGATCCACTGAAGGCATTTTGCAAAATCCCTCCCTCCCAAAAAAGTATGAACCTTCTGGGCTCCTAAGATCTTCAGGGGAGACCCTTTTCTATGTCCCAGTGCTCTTACGGGCAAATTTGATGAGAATCTAAGAGAGGGCCTTCTCTGCGGCCATTCCCAGGAAGCTAGATTTGCCTTCTCCCTCTTATCCTTCCAGGAACAAGAATCTTGTTCCTTTTTAAAAAGGATTTTAACAACTATCCTGAGCATTAAAGCTAAACACTCTCTGAGATCTTCATGAATAAGGCTACAACTACACAGTCAATTACTGTGGGATTTGCTCTGGTTTCTCCTTTTTTTCAAACCAGAACAACTTGAAAGAACTTTCCCCCTTGTGATCAGTTGTTTCCTTTTGCAAAAGGATGGATATATGTGTGTGTGTGTGTGTCTGTTCCCCATTGCCTATTTTGGACTCTTGTTTACAGAACATAGGAACACTTTCCCCCATAGTCTGTCCCTTGACTCTGTTCCCCATTGCCTATTTTGGACTCTTGGGTTTAGCAGAGAGCTGCTCTTTTTGCCCACGTTCCTTTGTCAGGCACACACTGAAGGTGCAGCATGAATAAACAAAACAATAGAAAGACATATCAGGCACTGCCGGCACATAAGCCATCAAAGCTTTTAATCCCATTCACCCAGAACTCACAAAGATATGCAGAAACTTGAGGATGCGTTTGTGTGTCAGGATATGCAGGACATTTCCTGAGATGGGCTCAATTACAGGCAATCTATGGATCTTGTTCTTAATCAAGGAATACACGGCATCAAAGAGACTAGAAAGAGAAAAGACAAAAGGACATGCCATACAATCAGACAACTGTTCATCATAGTTATTTGGAGCATAATATAGATGGCTTAAAGGGGAGCAAAGAGGTGCGTATGAAGAACAGCTAGAGTTCATCATCTCATAGCAACTGGCTCTGCTGATTGTCAACAGGCAGAAATCAACAGGTGCATGACTTTCTGGAACACTGATGAGACAAAACTTTGCTCTTCTCTGCCTTGTGAACAAGGGCAGAAAGATTCCATAAAATTGTGGAAAATAGCAAACCACTTGTGTTCTCACCACAAGGGAGTGATTAGCGCTAGTGCGAAAGGGGCACAGAAATTGTAGACTTTATTTATGATGCTCCCTTGCATTTTGGGATCATTCCACCCTCTCCTCCTTAAGCCAGATCATATCCCTCTTCAGTCCTAACCCTGGGATACTACAATGGAAAACTTATAGTGAGTAGCCCAGAGAAAAGGTTGGGGGAAATGGCCTATAATTGAAGAAGAAAGAAATGACCCCCCAATGCTGACTTCTGTCAGCAGAAGAGGTGAGGAAAGCACCAGAGCCACTTACCTATCATTCGGGGAGATGTACACCAGGGGTTTGAAGGAACTTTGCAAGTATACCTCTGGGAAGAAAGGAAACAGTGTTTGGAACCTCCATCCTTGGCCGGGTGAGAGAACAGCAAGTCCAGGTTGAGTATGGAAACAAATTTGGCATTGCCAATTGAATTTCCAACCATTTTAGAAGGAGGATGAGTTTCTCCAGTTTTGGCACCTAATAGGATCAGGGATCAGCTTTTTTCAACTTAGTATCTTTCATCTGCGCTGGACTACAGCTGCGACGATCCCCAAGCAGCGTTGCCAAGCTGACTTGCCTGATGTGAGCCACAGTCCAGCACAGAGGAAGGAAACCAGGTTGAAGAAATCTACTATTCTATATATGCCCTGTGTCATTACATGTGCACTGAGAACACCTGAAGATACTCGTGCAGATGCGACAAAAGCCAGTGCCAGTGGTGGCAGGAGTTTCTTTGGCTCTTTGCTTTGAGACAAATTTCAGGGCTACTGTTTAGTGCCATACATGGACCTCCATCCTCTGCTAAGCTTGCTGTGCCCTCCACATACATTTTTCTTGGGGAACATGTTCTGTCCAGTAGCTGAAATCTGTTCCATTGCAATCTGATCTCTTCCTTCTTTCTTCACAGTATGTATTCTTACCGAAAGAATCTATTGTTTCTCCTTGTAAAAGATGTGCTCCTGCCTTAAGCAAAGAAGCAAAAAAGATTCCACTGGAAGCCTCCCCCAAAGTTCAAAGCTCAAAATGATTTTGCTTCTGTTCTGTGACAGGTTCAATTAGCTTAAAATGCCTATGTCACTCAAAAGGATAAATGGCTGCTTCTTAACGTTGGTAGAGAGGTGAAGGGCATATTGGGTTTGGAATGTTGAGGGGCTGAGGCAAGAATATGGAATTTCCTCAGGACTAGAGTTATTAACAGGTAAAATGAAAACATAAAAAGGTAAAGTAAAGAGTCTTGATCCTTTTGTCAGAGGGGTCACAGGTCTGGGGTGATCAAATGAAAAAGAGGCCAGGGCTCCTGTACCTTTTTGACAATTGCTTCAAAGAAGAAATTTCAGCAGATGCAGGTTTTAATGCTAGCGAGGCTTTGCTGAAATTCTGTCTTCTACCCAACGGTTAAAAAACACAAGAACCTTATCCGCTTTTTCATCTGGTCATCTGTGGATGACAATTGGACAAGAAGACTAACTTTGAGGCAGTCAGTCTTCCAACAACAGCTGTATTTTTCACATGGTGTTTTTACATATTGTATACTGCACTTCAATTATATTCAAAGAACCCTTTACAAAAGGAATACAAAAATGTAAATATACAGAGACACAGATTTGTGTGCATGTGTGTGTGTATACACACACACACTCACACACATATATCACATATACATACATTTTTACTACAACTAATGGAGAAGGTGAAAGCCAAAATGTTTTGCTTAAATACTTGTTTGTCAGTCTTGTGTGTGTGTGCGTGTGTGTGTGTGTAGACATGTAGACACACACATGCACACAAACATGCTAAAACTCATAAAATTGGGAGAGTGCACGAAGCAGTCAGTGGGCAAGGCAGCAAGTGCAGTTTCTCCATAACTTTCGTCTGGTAACAGTACAAGCTGTACCACCGAGAATAGCCTCATCTCACTGTATCATGTTTCCTTCTATTAATTTTTCTTTTCAGCTATTGAGGATTACAACAAACAAGCAGTATTTGATTGTTTACCTCCATAAACATATGGGAAATACCACTGAGAAAGAAAACATAGGTCAGTCTTCAGGAAGAATTAATGATGTAACACAAATAAGAAATGGTTAAATGATACCTGAATACAACAAAATAGCTAACACCGATATCCTTCATCTACAGAGAAAGACGGAGCTGCAGGAGCCAGTTCTATGACTTTTATATCACTTTATTCCTCATGGTTTCAGACTGAAAAAGACGATTTGGTGAGGCACTTAGGATTCTCTGCTGTGACTTAAAGGAGTAGGTCTCAAGATGTAGAAAATGGTAAAAATGTGTCAAGCACTTTAAAATTAGAATAAAGACTGTTAGCATTTCCTACATCCTAAAACCTAGTACTGTATCTCATTCTGATTTCTGACATTATTGGATGTATCAGTTCCCTGTGTTTCTACTCAGGGGAGTACACTAGAGCTTTCTGGCAGATAATTCTACATATCTCACCCAACTTGAAATCCCAGACAAAGGTCCTTTAAAGGAATCCATTATAGTTATCATGGTATCAAACAGATACAACCTCATTGTGTACATGCATCCAGAAGAGCAAGCAATTCTGGATATTCAAGTTAAGGGAGGATTCTGGAACAGGCTAAACACAACCAGGTATAAAAGGTGTAATTCATCATGCACTGAAGTCAATAGTTATTAACAAAGTTGAGCTCCATCCACACATTTGCCCTTTCCCCTAACAGTGCCCTCCATACCTCTCCATGTTTCAATTTTGTGTTCCTCAATCTCATATATCTGAACCTAAAAGAGCACAAAACATAATGATGAGAGAGAAGAGATGTCATCACTAGCCACCTGTAAAAAAGTTCACACTCATGAGCTTGGTGCAGTTTATATTACACTTCACTGGATTGAAAGCATAAGGTATATTGCACCTGGAAAAGAGAAAATTAAGAGGTGATACAATAGCCATCTTCAAATATTTGAAGGGCTGCCATGTCTGTAACAGAGCAAGTATATTTTCTGTTGCTTCCAAGGATAGGGTCCAAAACAAGGAGTTGTTCAAATTACAAGAAAGGGTTAACCCCCCCCGCCCCCATATCAGGAAGAACTTCCTGATGGCTCAGATGGGATGACAGTAGAACAGACCGCTTCAGAGGATGGCAGATATCCTGTCATTAGAGGTTTTTTAAATACAGAATACATTACCACCTATCAGGCAGCAACAAATTTCCTAGGCCAGCAATGGAGACTTATACTGCATGTTCCTTGAGGTCTTTCCAAAGTATTCTACTTTGAGAACCCCACAAGAGAACTGAACATTGTTGCTTCCCTAGGAGGGTGAGTTCTTCTGGATTAAGGTTCTACTTGGATTTCTCTGATTTCAAACCTCCACTGCCTTGTGGCTATATCCACTGATGTAAAAGGCTTCAGGAGTTAACCTAGATGCAAAATCCAGAGCTGGAGTCTCGAAGGCAGTTCGTGTCGTTCTGCCAACTCCTGCGACGTCGCTGGAACCAGTTGTATTGGCTCTTGCCTTTCCATTGGACTATTTCAGCAGTGTGGAGAGGGGGGATCTGCTGCTTGGGTAACAGCCTATCCTCCATATTATTTTACTCAGGCTTCATGCTCTGGAGAGGACACTCCTCAATTCAGAGCATGTTACCATAGTCTCTCGAGACTGAAGGATGCCTATGCCATGGATTTCTTGAAAAGATGCTGTGAAACCAAAACTCATAACTTCCAGGATATTTAGAAATACTTAACGTTTTTAATAACATGTTTAATTCATTTCCAAATATGTCAACCAGATGATTCTGAAGAATCAGATTCTCATCCCAACTGTGTGAAAATATACTTTGATAGCACTATACCTGTGCCCCAGGTCTTCAGTGAGAGACACCCAGCTATCAAAGCTGACAGGTTTGCCAGGCAGGCTCTTGGGAGCCTGGAATGGGAATGGCTCACACCTGCAACCTATACTAACCACCCCTTGCTTTCCTTCTCCCCAGATCACTCTGCCTATTGAGAGGGAAATACTGGAAACTGTTTGTTTCTATGCCTGAGAAGGAGGCTGAGGTCCTGGAAACTCACCAGAGGGGATCGGTAGTAGCGATGTAGGATGTTAATGAAGTCGGTAATGGTCAGCATACCTGCAGAGGGAGAGGGAAAAAAAGAGAAGAAAGGAAGACAGCACACACATGCGTGCACATGCAACACATAGGGGACTGGAAAACCTGGAACAACCAATGTGAAGGACTTACATGGAGCAGGCTTCCGTTTATGGGGCCTGTGTTGCCAGCCTAAATTGTTGGACTTTTTCTTACCAAAATACTCTTAGAAATCCTACACACATTCAATCAGACTTTCTTGGACATTGCCATATAAAATCCAAATAGGCAGAGGCCTCATAAGCACCTTCAGCCAGAATTCATACTTCCATATTTCTAGAAGTTGGAAAAGTTACTTTATGGATCACAACTCCTAGAACTTTGTCAGCGTTTGAAATGTTAAAATAATTAAGGGATGTATAAAAAGAAATGTGCTCAACCAAATGAGGTTTGAACAGCTGTGCGCTAAAAGTCTAACTCTCTATCCAAGCCATCACAGAGAACGCAAGATCTAGTATGCGCAAAATAACATTGCCTTGCAAAGATTCTCTTTCATAGCAAGCTGACACTTGAGCCAGTAAACAAATAAGACATCAAAACCATGGGAAAGGAAAAGAGACCCTTGAGTATTGAAATGCAGTTATAGTAAATTGGTACTCTTCCAGTTTGTGTCCAAAAAAACCTGCCATGGAAGCAGCCCATATTGCAGCGGTTTCCTGGGTTAGCAAAAGGGAAATGTAAACAACTAAGAGAAATACAGTATAAATATAGGGAGGCAAAAGACACATATACTCCACACACTCTTCGTGACCCCATGGACCAGAGCACGCCAGGCCCTCCTGTCTTCCACTGCCTCCCGGAGTTGGGTCACCGGGGGGGGATCAAGCTACCAGACATCAAAGAGCAGCAGGCATGTAGCAGCAGTGGCGGCTGCAGCAAAGAAATCATGGATTGTTCTGCATAGATGCAAACTGGCACATGGTTGGCTTGGCTGGGTGAGAACACTGTTAAGTAATTCTCGGGTGTTTCAGAATATGCAAAATGGCTGATAAATGTATTTTACTTTCATGTATTTTTATTTTTAAGAACTTTGCTATTTTAAGAGATGTATTCTCTGCTTCTTGGTTGTGTCTTTTTAGGCCATAAGCGCCTGCACTGTTAGAGTGTAATTGAAACATTCTAACTGTTCTTTTTTATTCTTAAAATATATTTCTATCATACTTTTATGCTCCTGCATTTTGGATTAAATTTTGACTGAAGTATTTGCCTGCAACTTTAGTTTAATCTTCATATATTTTTAAGCACTGGTGCCTATACAGTAGTTTTTTCCCCATAGCTCTAAGGATTTTTAGATGTCTTTTACATGATTTAAGTATTTGCACCTACATCTTTTCTATACTTGTAGGACTGATTTCTGTATAATTGAAATGTACCTGTAACTTCTTCCCCCCATTACATAATTTCAATAATTCTTGGATTTATAGGCATAGAAGCAATGTAAATTAAAATAATTTGTAGAAATAGACAAGCTGAAGTTGCCTTGAATCATTCCCAAAGTGAAACTGTTCATTTTATCTTGATACCCAGATGAATTTTGATATGATTGAAAATGGTTATCTGGTTTCATATTGCAATTAGCCCTTTCAGGGATAAATGCCAGCTGTGAGAACACAGGCTTCTGATTTTTCCTGGATGTCTAAAGGGATCTTAGGAAAGGCGTTCAAGCATCAGACTTTCTGATTTGACAATCTAGCACTCAACACACCCACTGGTTGGGTTGGATGGGTGAATCTGGGAGTTGTAGTCCAAAAAAGCAACTTTTCTAAGGTCTTCATCTCCTCAGTGTCCAATAATGCTTCATCTCCCTTACATATTCCTTCCTGAGTCACTACAGTTACACCACTTACCCACAAAGCACTGCTGCTTACTGTCCCAGAGAGGTGCAGCTCGCACACCATTGGCCACCATGGCAAAGAAAGCTTTCTTAATCTGGGAACAGAAAAAAGAATCTGTGGGTCCAGAGTAGCAGCTATTCACCATGCCCGTCCAGCTGCAGAGTGAGTGGACTGTCACATCAAGTACAGCAAGTGGAGGGGGGGGCAACCCACAAGATTGTGTTCTACTTGGACTCTATAATTACTTTGGGCTAAATTCAAAGTTGCACAGGTGGTCAAAATGAAATCTTTCCCACACATATCTACAACTCCTAAATAATTGCCAAGAGCCCTCTTTCCCCGCACACAGGAAATGGGGGGCTCCAATACACTTTCCTTCTCCACCACTGGCTTCTGAACAATACCCCTATTTGCTAGACTTGGTACTATCAATCATTGCTAGTAGGACAGAGTTGGCAGTGGAGGGTGCTTTGCATGTTGTCCTATTTCAATCTCTTCCCATTCATCTACTGCCTTCTGAGTATCAGGTGCTGCAATGTCGTTTATCTCACTGAATGCAGGCAAGCAGGAAGCCATCTGCAATATGTGCAAGAATCAGATGTCTACCAATGGAACCACCGGTGTCCATACAGCTTAACTCTTGACACCCTGACTGATCTGACCTGTCTTCACTTGTAATAGAGACACCAACACCATTCAAAAATAGGGAAAACTCCCTCTTGTTATAGACTGGCTACTTCAACACCTCATGGCCTGAACTTAGAAAGCAACGCATGATAACATACATCCACTGTGGAATACCTTGCCCGCCAGGTTCTATAGCTGTCACCATGGAAACAGCACACCTGTCCCAGAGCAACTGAGGAAGGTGGAAGCCAAATCATTTTTACTAAAATACTTCTGTTACTAACAAACTTTTTCCTGAAAGTAGAACTCTCTGCCTCACTGTGGTGTATCAGCCTACATAGGCTTACACGACTTATTGCAATGATATCGACATAATCAACACTTTCAAAGTTCTTTTCCAGTGTTACTAAAACCACAGTCATCCTGCATGTTCCTCTTACTTTTCCCCACCCGCACAACTGCACACGCTATGGATATAAACCTGCAGTCAGACTGAGGAAACCAGTTGCAAAATCCACAAAAGCTCGCCTCTGAAATCACGGGCTAGGCTTAGAATCGGCCCAAGACTTGTTTTGTTCTGGTTGCACAGCTTTTTTGCTGCACGCAACAAAGAGGGACAGCGCAGAGCCATCCCCTGGAGGCAAAACAGGCAACTCTCCTGCAAACCATTGCAGACCATAAAACCATCATAAAATGCAGACCGTAAAACACACACACACACCTTGTCACTTCACCCACAATAACTTTCCATTCTCCTCACCTGTAAAGTGGTTTCAAATACTACAAGTTTGGAGCTGGTGGGAATGGCATCATAACAACGGTGGCTCCGCATGAACTGCATATAGAGCTCAGCATCAGGGCCCAGGAAATCAATATCAGGACCAAACCCAAGAATTTCATAATCGAGAGAAATAATGTCTCCATCGCCTTCCTTGCTGCCCTCTTTGAGGTTAGTAGCCTCTGGCGCTGCAGTTGGTTTGGCCTCCAGAACCCAGCCATGGTGATCTCTAGCATTTGGTGTGGTCGCTTGAGCATTCCTGTCCTCATGCCCAGTTTCTGGCATTATAGCATCATCCTCTGACCTTGCTTGCTTGCAATCTGTAGCCAAGGCCCGTGACATCCCATTAGCTTCGGCTCCGTCCAACTCTTTGGCCTCTGATTTTGCAGTTTTAACGTCCAGTTCCATAGCGCTGGCATCGGCAGCTGTCACTTTGCCCTCCTGACATACAGCCTTGGCATCCAGCACAATAGCCTCAGGATCACAATTCCTGGTTCGGCCATCTGAGATCACGTTCACTTCTCCCTTTTTGCCCTTTGCAACCAGGTCCTTGGCCTCCAGCACGACAACCTTGGCTTCCGGAGGAGATTCCTTAACATTCAGAGACGGGAGTGGGCCTAGTGGACAAGAGGAAGCATTGCAAATCCAAACACTCAAGTTTCTTGGTAGTTGAAACATTTAAGCAATTTTGAAATGACATCCTCGCTAAGCCTGTGCATGCCTGTGCTTGCAAACTGCAGGCGCTCACTTGGTAGAATGAACCACCCACAGCCTGCACAGACAACCAGTCTAATATTGCAGTAAAGTACATTAATTATTGCAGATCTTTGCCCAATGCCTGCCCACCCTGCCTAGTTTATAGAGTACACACCCAGTAAATGTATTTTTTAAAGGTGACTTAAGTCATTTGTCATTTGATTTTGAAAAATAACAGTACTCACACACATTTCAGCTGAAATTCTCTGGAAGGTCTCCTGAAGAACATGTGGCTCTGTAGATGCTGTTGGACTCCAAACCCCACTAGCCATTGTTTTGTTGAAAGCACAAAGAGGCAAAGTGCACACCGTCCATATAACCAGTGGTGATGGACTATGGGAACTACAATCCAGCAACATCTACAGAGCCACCTGCTGTACAACACTGTAATTAAGGGGGCAATATTGGAGGGGGCAGGGGAGTTTACCTGCTCCCTCTGAAAAAGTAGAACAAGCCAAGAGGAGTGTGTGTGCCATTTCCATGGCACATGAATTGCTTTACAGTTTTTATTGTGTGCTCTCACAACAAACCTGTGAGGTAGATCACCATAATCCCCATGTGACAGATTTTAAAAAACCCAGAGATTAGAAAGATCCCAAGCTTGCCCAATGCTACTCAAAAAATTTGGGAGCAAGTCTGAATTCTGAATCTGGGTATCCCATATCTAGTATCAGTGATCTGTTTAATGCATAAGATGGTGCTAAATTGGGTTCTACAGGTACTGGCAGAATTCTAGTCCCCTGGGCTGGAGTACAAGATGAGCTGAGGTTTGGCAGGGGGTGGGATGCATTTGGGTACAATGAAGAGATCCCAGGGCTAGAATAACAAGGAAAATTGATTCAGCTGAAACCACCACACTAGCTAAATGGAGCTGGCAGCATCAATATAAAAGGGCCATATAAGATCTTAAATTGTGTGTGTACTAAGTCATGTTATTTTTGATAAGCAGGTTTAGAGGACAACCCAAAGCAGGCAGTTAGTATCCAAATCTCCCCTCTGACACAAGTATTTGCTGTGAGATAGCTGGCAGGCAGTGGAGTCTGTACTTGAGAACGGTCACTCCATCAACAGCTGTCAAAGCCAATTTGTTACCCACCTGCTTCCTGAGGCTGAAGACAATTGCTCAGTGGTGGAGCCTGGAAGTGGAAGAGAAATGGGCAGTGTTAAACAAGGGCCTTCAGTATCCTGCATTCAATGTGCAAAACAGCTCAGCTTTTAGCATCCAAAGAGTAAGTAACTACTACATCTCTGGAGCAGATACTCCGGCAGTAACATGGCAAGAGGGTACTCTCAGACTCCTAGAAAGCTCATGGTCTGAGCGAGGGAGTGGCCCCCACCCAAAATATTTGGGGATGAGATGCTTTTACTTAACCTCAAGCCATTAGTGGAAAGACACTTCCCAAAACCCACAGTCTTAAAATGTGCTGAATCCAGTTCTTATGAAATACTGCAGAGTTCTGGTTTGTTTGCTTCAATCCACGGTTCTTCTGCTTTCTGCAGGCAGCAGAAGCCATTCTGGCACTGTCGGCTGAATCCAGGTTTACTCAGGCTTAGGGCAGAAGCATGGAAATAAATGGAACTTTGACTGATTATGATGAACAACTTAAATTGACCTCAATAGGTCTTCCTTAAGTAAGTAACTTGCAGGCCTGCACTTTCTCTGCCTCATTGGTTTCTCTTCTTCCTGTTGTCATAGTTTATGTTCACAGATCTGAGGAACATTAAAAATATTTGGGGGGAAACAGAGATAATTTATTGTCATTGTAAGTATATACACATACAACGAAATTCACAGACCGTCCTCACTAACTAACGTCCTCACGGATTTATTTTTTAAAGGAAAGGACATTCCCAGCCTTTTTAAGCTCCAAAACTGCTGCCTTGGACTCCTCTAGGTGGCACTCAAAGGTCGCAGCTAGAAGGAACCTGAAATCTGATGAGGTGCAATACATCAGAGATGAGGAATCTTTGGCCTGTCAAATGTTTTGGACTCCCATATCGCCTCACAATTTATCATAATGGCTAGGAATTTGGGGAAATGGAAGTCCAAAACACCTGAAAATTCACACGTTTCCCAGCCCTGCACTGCATCACCCATCCCTGGCCTGGAGTCCTCCTGATGTCTTAGACAGCAGCTCTCGCTGTAGCCAGTGCTTGCCTGTAGCCTGACACAGATGGAAGGCACTAGGTTTGGGGAGGCTGCAGCACAGTATTAGCATGGAAAAGAGTCCATGCTAACAAGGCCCCCCTATGGGGAGAAAGGCAGCATATACATAAATAAAAAGTAAAGACAAAATAAGTATAGGGGTGGAGGGAACCATAAGTATCACCCACTAAAAGATGCTATTTCAATGTCTCAGCCAGACGGGGATGGTACATAAAAGTCTGTGTCCCAAGTCACAATGCACAGGTATGGCAGGAAACATAAAGAAGGGAAGACCACCGTCAGACACAGCAATACACCTGGGAAATAACCCCCACAACAAAAGATGAACATGGTGCACATGTACCTAAAGGTTCCAGAACACAGCATTCACCACCCAGAACCTCCTTCCATCTTGCCACCCTTCTTCACCTAAAGGTCCCTACTTTGTCTAATGCAGGATTCCAGAACACAGCATTCACCACCAAGAACCTCCTTCCATCTTGCCACCCTTCTTTTTCACCTAGTTCCTCACTCCCTGAATAACTCAGACCTCATTTGCACCGAGGAATTCTTATTTGGGTCAGGTTGGGCCTCGGCCTCCATGGGTAGGATACAGAAGACGGCCAGCCAGCTGGCAATCATAAACATCAGCATGAAGGGAGTCCCTTGTCATCCAGCAGATGACAGTCATAAAAATGGCAAAAGAACCACATAGGAATGGAATTCCGTTGCTAAGCTGATCTTGGCTCCTCCAGGGCTGCAATGTTTGGTCAACTGGGTTCACTAAATAAAATATTCTGATCAATTCAAGAGAGGTGCCCCCAGGTATAAACAGGCAGATTTTAAAAAACAAAAATAGAAATTATTCACAGTTGCTAGTGCAAGTCTTTATAAAACATACCTGCCTCATCTGAGGAAATATTCTTCCTCCTTAAATGCTTTTTCTCTAATAGAGGGCTGTATTATGGGCTGTATTTCAGAATCTTGCATCATCCGCTCTTAATTTTTCTTATTTGAAAATACATGCACTTTTCATTGATGCATTAATTTATGCAGAATTCATCAATGTGCCATTGTACTAAAATTAAGATACCTTTGCAGAGATGACTGGGTCTATCTTGGGAGCAAGATCTCTTTCATCATAATTTCAGTTGAGGTGCCTGGGTTGAAAATACTGCTATTAAATGCTATTAAATGTCAGGGAATGAGAAAATAACAGACATATAGGACCTGATCTTGCATGATGGTTGGATGAGGCTGGGGATGTTAATCTCACTCAGCTTTGTCCACCAGGTTTCTCTGTGCAACAACAGGCAAGACCAGCAGGACAGGGAGGCAGAGTAGCAGTGATCTATCATGATTCCATCCCTCCCACTAGATGTCACATTCCCCAGTTCCCTGAGTTTGAATGCATGCTTCTGAAAGTAGGAGACTGGGAAAAGATAGGTATTCTCCTGGTGTACTCCCCCCTCCCCCCCTGGCAGCATAACCTCTTTTCCAGAGCTCACTGAGCTGGTATCAAGTGTGGTATTGGAGTCCCCTTGGCTTGTCATTCTGGGGGACTTTAACATCCATGCCGAGGCAGATTATCCAGTGGCTCAGGACTTCATGTCCTCCATGACGACCCTGAGGCCGTCCCAAATAGCATCTGTCCCCCACTCATGTCGCAGGCCACACTTTAGACCTGGTCTTCTGTACTAGTGTAGAGGATAGTGAACTGGGTGTCATGAAAAAGACCATTATTTGGTGCAAGATGGACTAACTGGAACTCAGAACCTTTGCAGGGGGTGGGGTCAGATTAAGAAAATCCACCCCAGAAGGTTGATGGATCCAGATGGTTTTGTGGCTGCTCTTGGGGAATTTCCTGTCACCTTCAAAGGGGACTCTGTTGAATCCTCATTCTCTGGAGTGCAGAAATGGCAAAAGCCATCAACTTGATTGCTCCTAAATGTCTCCTTCCTCAAAGTAGAGCCAAACTGGCTCCCTGGTTCACCAGGGAGTTGAATGGAGATGAAACGAGTGAGGCATAGATTTGAGCAATGATAGTGGAAAATTCAGAGTGAATCTGATTTTAAAAAAGACCTAGTGCCCATTGGAAGGCCTTTTCCATGGCAGTGGAAGTGACAAAGAAGTCATTCTTTTTTGCTACCATTGCATCTACAATGAAATTGTCCAGCGGAGCTTTTTCGAATGGTTAGGGGCCTGCTACATGCTAGCCCCCAGGTAGATAATGCAGACCACAATGTAGTTCGCTGTGAAAAATATGCACAACGCTTTGCAGACAAAATTGCTCAGATCTGCTTTGACTGGATGCTGTAATTGTTTCAGGTCCTGTGAAGGAAAGTGGGTCCCCTGCTTCCCCAGTGTTCATGGCTGCATTTCAGTTTCTGCAGCCTAATGATGTGGTCGGGGCCCTTGGGGAGGTGAGGGCTACCACATGCCTGCTGGATCCTTGCCCTTCCTGGCTCATAAAAGCTGCCAGAAAGGGATTGGCTGATTGGGTAGGAGGAGTGGTAAATGACACCTTGCAACAGGGTAGGATCCGATCATGCTTAAAGGAGGTAATAGTAAGACCATTGTTTTAAAAAGCCCTCTTTGGACTCCACTGAATAATTACCGACCAATATCTAACATCCCATTCTAGAGCAGGTTGTGGCCTCTCAGCTCCAGAGGTTCCTGGATGAGACAATCTGGCTTCAGGCCTGGTTATGGGACACATGATTTGGTGGCTTTGGTAGATGTCCAATCATGCTTAAAGGAGGTAATAGTAAGACCATTGTTTTAAAAAGCCCTCTTTGGACTCCACTGAATAATTACCGACCAATATCTAACATCCCATTCTAGAGCAGGTTGTGGCCTCTCAGCTCCAGAGGTTCCTGGATGAGACAATCTGGCTTCAGGCCTGGTTATGGGACACATGATTTGGTGGCTTTGGTAGATGATAGGAGCTAGGTATGGCGATTTCCGTCCCTATTGGTTTTGCTGGACCTCTCCATGTCTTTTGATACTATCAAGCACAGTATCCTAGATGATCTACGATAGGAACTGGATATGGGGATTTCCATCCCTATTGGTTTTGCTGGACCTCTCCGTGTCTTTTGATACTATCAAGCACAGTATCCTCCTGTCCTGTCTCTCTGGAATGAGACATGGGGGCCTTGTTTTACAGTGGTTCCAGTCTTTCCAGGAGGGGAAAACTCAGAAAGTAGTGCTGGGGGATTTCTGTTCCAAACCTTGGCTGCTGACCTGTGGGCTCCCTCAGGGCTCTGTTTCGTCTCATCTACATGAAACCACTGGGAGAGATTATCCAGAGTTTTGAGGCTTGGTGCCACCAGTATGCAGATGACAACCAACTCTACCTCGCCTTGCCACCTAAATCCAAGGAAACTACTTCAGATCAGTGCCTGGTATCAGTAATGGACTGGATGATGGTGAATAAACTGAAACTTAATCCAGATAAAACAGAGGTGCTCCTAGTCAGCCAAAAGCCAGATCACGGAATGGGGATGCAGCCGGTACTGGATGGGATTTTATTCCTATTGAAAAAAAACAGGTGGGCAGCTTGGGGGTGCTCCTGGATTCATCCCTAAACCTGGATGCCCAGGACTCGGTGGTGGCCAGAAGTGCATTTGGATAATTAAAACTAGTGTGCCAGCTATGTCTGCTCCCTCAGGGCTCTGTTTCGTCTCATCTACATGAAACCACTGGGAGAGATTATCCAGAGTTTTGAGGTTTGGTGCCACCAGTATGCAGATGACAACCAACTCTACCTCGCCTTGCCACCTAAATATGAGGAGGTTGTTCCAGTTCTAGATCAGTGTATGGTGACAGTAATGGACTGGATGAGAGTGAATAAACTGAAACTTAATCCAGAGAAGAAAGAGGTGCTCCTGGGTGGTCAAAAAGCAGATCAGGGAATAGGGACGCAGCCTGTGCTGGATGGGATTGCACTCGCTCTGAAAAGTCAGGTGCACAGATTGAAGGTGCTTCTGTATTTGTCTCTGAGCCTAGATGCCCAGGGACTCGGTGGTGGCCAGAAGTGCATTTGGATAATTAAAACTAGTGTGCCAGCTATGTCTATTTCTTGAGAGATTTTATCTGGCCACTGGGACATACGTCCTAGTTACTTCCTGGCTGGATTACTGTAATATGCTTTATGTGGGGCTGCTGATGGAAAGTGTCAGGAAACTCCAGCAGGTCCAAAATGCAGCAGCCAGATTGCTGACTGGGGCTGGTTACAGGGATCACATAACCCCACGGTTACAGCAGCTCCACTGGCTGCCAGTCAGTTTACCAGGAACAAGTCAAACTGCTGGTTTTAACCTATAAAGCCCTAAATGGCCTGGGTCCAAGCTATCTCAAAGACTGTGTCTCCCATTATGAGCCAGCTCCAGTGTTAAGATCTTCAGGAGGTGCCTTTCCCTCAGCCCTGCTACCTTCACAGATGCATCTGATGGGAACACAGAAGCGAGCTTTCTGTGTTGTTGGTCCCAGACTTTGGAACTCCCTCCCACAGGAGGCCAGACTGGCCCCATTTTTACTGTCCTTCCACAAGCAAAGACCTTTCTCTTCAGGAAAGCCTTCCTTGAGTAATCAGCTACCTGTGTGTGATTTTTAGACAGATTGTTATGTGTTACTGATTTGACTACTTATGTTTTCCATTTTTGTGTTCTCCATTTCTCAGAGTGACGTTTTTAACATTTTTGTATGCTTTTTGATCTGCCTTAATATTGTCTGTTAATTGATGCAACATTCATTGTTCATAATGTTTAAACATCATCTTTTAATGATGGTAACCACTGTTGTATACTCACTGTTTTCAACTTTTAAATACTGTACTGTGTTGTCTTTCATTGTTTTAACCTGCCTTGGGTCCTCTTCAAGGAGCAAGGAGGGGTAAAAACATTTTAAATAAAATAAATAATAAATCCTAGTAGTCTAGAAAGATGGAAGTGGAGTCAGAACGCTTACATAGCAGACGTTAGTGGCATTAGGCACTTGGGTAGTCTTGGTTTCTGTTCTCAGCTCTCCCTGCTTGGAACTCTTAATCCTACAATCGCTCCCTTGCAGTTTGGAAAAGTTACTTTTTGGAACTACGCCCCTCCTATCTCTCAGCTAGCACTTTCCTTACTTCTCTGCTCAATTTCTCCCAATCCTGTACCTCTTACCCTCCTATCAATCCCATCAAAATGACCCCCAGCTTCTACCTGACTTGCAAAACGTAAGCTCAACTGTACCGGCAAGAGGCGTTTGTTGAGGATGCGGAGGAGAAAAGAGCGCCAGAAAGAAGAGATTGAGACGCGCGCGGGCTGATAGCCAGGGCTGAATTGCTAACAAGCGAAATCCTAGAGGCGAAGCACTCATGAAATGACAGCTAAGGGGCTGGAGGGGGTGGGTGGGCGACAAGGAGAAAGAGCTTGTGCACTCCCCGCCTGCACAGAGAGCTCTCCTCCTGAGGACAACAACGGTGTCGCCGGGCTGCGCCGTGGCCTCGGGAACACGGTCTCGGGCTGGAGCGCGGCGGCTGGGCGAGGCTGCCTCTCCCGAAACCCCGCCGGCTTCGGCTCTCCAGGCGACGAGCAGGAAGTGGCGGCGTGTTGTGGTGGGCAGCAGGAAGTTCCCCCGCGCGCTCCCGGGGCCGGGCGGGTGTCCGTTTGGCCTTCCTGCCCCCGCCGCCCCTTCCCTCGGCCGGGGGTTTCGCCCGGCCTCCCGGTCCTTCGCTGGCTTCCTGACCACCGCCCGCCAGGGCCTTACCTGCTGCTGCAAGGCCGGTGGTGGTGGTGCCGCCGCCACCGCCTTCTCCGCTCCCTCCATGCCGAGCCCGGGCCAGCTTCTATTTAGGGCGACTGGCCGTCCGAGGAGCTTGAGTGTCAGGCTGGGGCGGCGGGCCTGGCACCGACACGCGCGCGCACCGCTGGGAGGGAGAGGAGAGCCGGGCCAGGGAGGGAGGGAGGGGAGGATAGACGGGAGGGGGCACCGCCCGCCGCCTCGGTCATCGCCACCGTCCGGAGCATCGTGCGAAGGGCCTGCTGCGGGCGGGGACGGACTCCCGGCACAAAGCAACGCGTGGCCCCACCCTCTACCATCACCCACAGTGATGGGTCCAGAAGCTGAAAAAAACCCACACCGGAGCACCTGGCTCACCCGTGGCCAAACAGCTAGAATTACAGTGACCCTAGCGCCATTCGGAGCCATTGACCCATAACTCGCCTTTAGGCATGATGGTGCAGCCCTCCTAATACTGGGATTGGTAGGTCCCACACTAAATGGACTGCTGGCATCTTTCTCTCTCTAATCCCTAGCTTGCCCCGCGTGTTTTAGGCAGACATTCAACAGGCAAAGACAGCGCTACCCTTAGGAGCATTGATGAGAAAGTCATGCAGCCTTACCTGTTGCATTATAAAGGTTCCACTCATACTGCGTCTGTTGAGGAATGGACCTCAACAGGAATGGGAAATCTTGACATCCCAGCCTTCAGCCTGGAGGCAGGCGGTGCATCATGGCATCTCCAAATTTGAAGAGACACAGAGGCAGCCCCAAAACCAGCAATATCAAGGAGCTGGACATGGGACAAATTGTATTTTTCTTCAGTGTGGAAGGGATTTTCACTCTTGAATTGGCCTCCTCAGCCACACTAGATGCTGTTCCAAGTCCTCTGTTCAGAGCACGTTACCATAGTCTCTCGAGACTGAAGGATGCCTACCACTACTACTCATACTGCAAGATTAAGTGGTTCTAAAAAACATCCAGGGAACAGAGACAGGCTTCAGGCAAATTTAACAGGCATTCCTCTTGCCCACTCCTAGTGAGGGTTTCATGGGACAGCTGCTGCTGTCCACCTTGATCTAGGGGAATGGTGGCCACAAACTTTGAAAAGGGCTATCTAGATCCATTTCAATCTGGCATCAGGCCTGATTAGGGAACAGAGTCTGCTTTGGTCAGTAGTGGATAACAGGGAACTTTGTGTCCCTGTTGGTTCTGCTGGCCCTCTCAGTGGCTTTCAATACAACCATTCAGGATATTTTGGGATGAGACTTTTAGGCACTGTTTTATGGTGGCCCTGGCCCTTCCTGGAGGATTGAACTCCAAAGCTATGGGACTCCTCTTCAAAAGGACCTGGCTGTTGGCCTGTGGTGTCCTTCAGGGTTCTGTTTTGTGTTTTGTGCTATTTAACATCTATACCGTATATGATATGATTGGGAGAGGTTGTCTGGAGATTTCGGGTATACAGATGATACACACCTCTATCACTCCTTTCCATCAAAGTCCAAGGAAGTTATTTTGGTTCTAGATCAGTAGTGGTCCGGATGAAAATGAAACTTAATCCAGACAAGACAGAGGTGCCTCTGGTCTGTCAAAAGGCAGATCCGGGAATAGGGACTGAGCTTATGCTGGGTGGCATTACATTCCTCCTGACCATTCAGGCTCAGGTGTGTTCTTGGATTCCTTCCTGATCCTGGATGCCCAAGTGTTGTCAGTGACCAGGAGTGCATTTGCATAGTTAAAACTAGCGTGTCAGCTGCACCCATTTCTGCAGATGTCTGATCTAGCCACAGTGACATAGAATCATATAATTTGGTTGGAAGGGACCTATAAGGCCATCAAGTCAAACCTCTGGCTCAGTGCAGGAATCCAACTCAAAGTAGGTCTGACAGATGGTTGTCCCATTCTCTCTTGAATACCTCCAGCATTGGAGCACTCACCACCTCCCATGGTAATTGGTTTCAATTGTCATACTGCTCTAACAGTTAACCAGTTTTTCCTGGTAGGAAGCAAGATTTTGGCTATGTTTGGAAACTTCAGCAGGTTCAAAGTACTGCAAGCAGATTGTTCATTGGGGCTGGTCACAGGGATCACATAACCCTCCTGTTACAGCAGCTCCACTGGCTGCCAGTCCATTTCCAGGCACAATTCAAAATGGTGGTTTTCACCTATAAAGCCCTAAATGGCTTGGGTCCAAACTGTCTCAAAGACCACAGATGTATGGCTTTTACAATCATCAGGGGAAGTCTTTATCTCAGTCCTCACAGGAAAAGGCCCTCTTTCTCTGTCGTTGCTCCCAGAATTTTGAACTCCTCTGGCAGAGAAGGACAGGCTGCCCCCATCCACTACTGTCTTTCCACAAGAAGGCAAATACCTTTCTCTTCAGGCAGGCTTTTCCACAAACAAATTGAATTGTTTGTGCTTTTGTTGCTTTTCATGTGCTTTTACTACTATTTGCATATACTATTTATATTATATTTGGCAGATTTTTAATTATTGTAATAATTTATTGGTTTTAGCTGTATGCAATCTCAAGTCCTTTTCAGGGGAAAGGCAGGAAACAAATATTTTAAACAAACAAATGTCATTTACTTTTATGGGCCACTATAGAGCCAAAGGATAGAAGTGATGCCCAGTGTTAAGAATGAGATGGAAATAAATGTACTTACTTCTCTCAGCATGGACTGGTGTGAAATAAACATTGGGATATACCTTCTCCCCACCAGAGTGGCCAACTTGAATTCTTACAAATAGATTTGTGTTTTTACCCCAGGAAGCTATAGGGAAGGTATCTTGGCAGCACAAAACTCTTCTGAGTTGCCAGGCTCTATCTCAAAGTTAGCAACATCTGGTAGTTAGCATGACATCACAGCACCTAAAGATAGTTACAACTAGGGCATTGTACATAAAGCCTGTGAGAAAGGATGAAAGATCTGGTTATCTCTCCCAAATGTTCAATGGAATTGTTTTCTATCAACAAAATTTTAGCTTGTCCTATTAAAGGCCCATCTAATCCAGCAGTCTGTTCCTGAAGTGACCAACTAGATGCCTTTGGGATATGCCCGAATAAGACTCAAGCAAAATAGATCCCTCTCACTCTTTTTACAAAGCAACTATTGTAGTAGCGGGAGACATACTGTTTTGATATTGCCATTGACACATGTATAGCCATCATAACTAATAGCATTTTGATAGCTGCAAAGCCATTATAAGCCACTTTAAGCTGCATCTGGCCTATGTGCTACAATTTGACTTTCTTGGATATTTGTTGCAGGGTTGGACGTGGTGGCACTGTGGGCTAAACTGTAGAAGCCTTTGTGTGCTGCAGGGTCAGAAGCCCAAGCAGTCGTAAGATCGAATCCACGTGACGGAGTGAGCGTCCGTCGCTTTTCCCAGCTCCCGCCAACCTAGCGGTTCGAAAGCATGCAAATGCAAGTAGATTAATAGGGACCACCTCGGGAAGGTAACAGCGTTTGGGAAGGTAACAGCGTTCCGTGTCTAAGTCGCACTTGGCCATGTGACCACGGAAGATTGTCTTCGGACAAAACGCTGGCTCTATGGCTTGGAAACAGGGATGAGCACAGCCACCTAGAGTCGAACACAACTGGGCAAAAATTGTCAAGGGGAACCTTTACCTTTACCTTTGAAGCATTAAGGCTATGCTCAGCCCCTTAGATATAACTGAGATACCTTGCTACCAGCAGCTCAGCCTTGCCCTCCAGATGTTTTGAAGTTCACCTCCAAGAGGCCTCAGCAAGTTGAGTCAAAGGGTAAAGGGATTATGGGAGTTGTAGTACAAAATAACTTCTCATTCTTCTAGCAGGGAAAACCACTGAATGAGACCAGGGAACATGGTGTTGGCTTTGTGGTCAGAAATACTCTGCTGAGATCCATTGTTCCACCTACTGTGGGGAGTGAAAGAATCCTGTCTATGCAGCTCCACTCATCAGCGGGACCGGTCACACTCATTAGTGCATATGCATCAATACTGTCGTCCACAACAGAAGTCAAAGACAAATTCTATGATGATCTGGCAGCTACTATCAAAAAATCCCTGAGAGAGAGCCGCTGTTCATTCTCAGAGACTTTAACACTAGAGTTGGTGCTGATCGCAATTCTTGGCCCACTTGTCTATGCCATTTTGGCATTGGGAAGATGAACGGAAATAGCCAACGCTTGCTGGAGTTTTGCTGTTATTATGGTCTTTGTGTCAGCAACACGTTCTTTAATACAAAGCTTCAACACAGAGTTTTCTGGAGACATCCAAGATTGAAGCATTGGCATCAGCTCAATTTCATCCTCACTAGACGTTCTAGCCTTCCTAGTATTACGATCGCACATGGTTATCAGAGTGCTAATTACGATACTGATCACAATTAGTAGAGTGTAGTAGAGTAAAACTGCGAGCAAAGAGATTGTATCACACGAAAAAGGAAGACCACGTATTGACAGCAGCAAGACTCGCAATCAAAGAAAAGTGGAGGAATTTGCCCAAGCCCTTGAGGAAACCCTTCCAGGCCCGGCTGATGCAAATGCACCTGAACAATGAGAACATTTCAAGAACGCTGTTTATAACACCGCCTTGTCCACATTTGGCAAGAAGACCAAAAAGACGGCAGACTGGTTTGAAGCCCATTCAGAGGAGTTGATGCCAGCCATCAGGGATAAGAGGAAAACTCTAGCAGCATACAAAGCCTGTCCTAGTGAGTACAACTTGCAGGCTCTTCAACTTGCTAGTACCAAAGTCCAACAGGCTGCCAGGAGATGTTCCAACGATTATTGGCTTCAGCTCTGCTCTCAAATACAGATAGCAGCGGACACAGGTAACATCAAAGGAATGTCTGATGGTATCAAGCAGGCCTTAGGTCCAATACAGAAGAAATGTGCTCCCTTGAAGTCTGCTACAGGCGTGATCATCCAGGACCGAGCACAGCAGATGTAACACTGGGTGCAGCTCTACTCTGAGCTATATTCCAGAGAGAATGTAGTAACCAAAGAGGCACTAAATAACATTGAGTGCCTGCCTGTCATGGAAGAGTTGGACAGCGAACCAACTTTAGCAGAAATGAAAGTGGCCTTAGATTCCCTTGCCTCTGGCAAGGCACCTGGAAAGGATAACATCCCTGCTGAAGTGCTGTAAAGACATCATGGCCACTGAGCTGTATGAAAACTTTTGTCTTTG